CCACGTGCTCCTGACTGGTTGTCATTGAAGCCACTGTGCTGATTTTATTGAAGCCGTTGACTGGTTATTATTGAAGCATATGTACTGATTGTTATTGAAGCCACTTGACTATTGTTATTGAAGTCACTGGACTGGTTGTTATTGAAGCCATTGGACTGGTTGTCATTGATGCCAATGGGCATGTTGTAATTGAAGGCACTGGACTGATAGTTATTTAAGCCTCTGGGCTGTTATCATTAAATACACTAGACAGGTTGTTATTGAAGCCATTGGACTAGTTGTTATTGAAGGCACTGGACATGCTGTATTGACGGCACTATACTGATATTATATTAAGCCTATGGGCATTAAATCCACTGGACAGGTTGTTATTGAAGTCACTGGAATGGTTGTTATTGAAGTCACTGGAAAGGTTGTTATTGAAGCCACTGGACTGGTTGTTATTGAAGGCACTGGACTGATAGTTATATTAAGCCTCTGGGCTGTTTATCATTAAATCCACTGGACAGGTTGTTTTTGAAGTCACTGGATGGTTGTTATTGAAGCCGCTGGACTAGTTGTTAATGAAGCCACTGGGCATGTCGTAATTAAAGCCACTTGTCTTAAACCACTGGACATGTTGTTATTGAAGCTAATGAGCATGTTGTTGTTGAAGCCACTGGACTGGTTGTTGTTGACGCAACTGAGCAGGTTGTTGAAGCCACTGGGCGTGTTGTTATTGAAGACACTGGGCAAGTTGTAATTTAAGCCCAGTGGCGGATTTACCGGGGGGGGGGGGGGGGCACAGGGGGCACGTGCCCCCCAGTCGGGGTCACCAAAAATTTTTCTAAAATAGTTTTATTGCTACTGTATCTGTTTATGTAGATATCTAGATCTAAAATCAAGACACAGCTTGATTTGACTTCCTAAAGTGGTCGTTAATTAACCCCAGCTTCAACATGCGTGATTTATGACAACTTATCGATGGGTGTGTAAATATTGACACCTTTGTGTAATGTCTATATCCAAAAGCATTTATGTAAACTACATGTGATCTACATGCTGATTGGAATTAATACGAATATATTTATTGATTTCTAATACAATATAACAGGATCAAGATCGATTAAGAAGAGAAATCTTCTGATCAGGAAAGAAATTACCAACTAAAATCGGTCTGAAAAGAATATGTAAAAATAGATGTTTAGTGTCAGGAATGTTAGTATCGATATGAGATACGTCTTTATTACCAAACACTCACATTGTATACGGTTTCTGGGGAATGTGTCTTTCTCAGAACAGTCTTTTTCGGACTTTATTAAACAACAAACGATTTTTTTCAATGCATACAGCATTTTTTTAAACTGAATGTCGTGTTTTTCCCCTTATTTTTTTATGGAAACCAATGATTTGTCTTTAAAATAAAACCTTCCCCCTCCACAAAACATGAATGGTCTGTGCCTTATATATATATCATTAATAAAATGATATTGTATTTTTAGAAAACCTATACTCATATTTGAGATAAAGAACAGCAATAAAAGCGCTGTTCCTTTGCTTATTGTGTGTTTTTTTGCTGTGCATGTACTGATTTTGTGTCGTGGAAGGATACCCTATATCCTTTCTTTTTCTATTATAGTACAGTAATATGTGTATACACATGTTTTTCTTGTTTTAATTACCATGTATGAGGGTATGAACAGGTTACCATGAATGAGGGTATGAATGGTTTACCGTGAATTTACAGATTAGAGAATAATGGTCAAAAAGTAAAGACTAGAAAAAAATGTGCCCAAAAAATATAGAAAACAAATTAAAGGTGAGATGAACTATAAAGAATAGAGGACAATTGGCAGCAAATAAAAGAGTAGAAAGAAATGGATCCAAAAATAATGAAAAGATATAGAAATGAAGACCTGACCCCCCTTCCACGACCACCCCCAATACATGACACCACCACCACCCACACTCGCATATATACATATCTAAACAAATCTTTAATTTTGGTTTCATGGTGCCCCCCCCAGACTTCGAGGTTCTGGATCCGCCCCTGAAGCCACTGGGCTGATAGTTTATTAAGCCACTGGGCATGTTGTTATTGACGCCACTGGGCATGTTGTTATTGACACCACTGGGCAGATTATTATTAATACCAATGGGCAGGATGCTGTTGAAGCCAATGGGCATGTCGTAATTTAAGCCATGGGCTGGTAGTTATTTAAGCCACTGGGCATGTTGTTACAGACGCCACTGGGCGTGTTTGTTTGTAAAGCCACTGGGCAGGTTGTTATTGACGCCACTGGGCAGGTTGTTATAGACGCCACTGGGCAGGTTGTTATTGATGCCACTGGGCAGGTTGTTATAGACGCCATTGGGCGAGTTGTTATTGAAGCAACTGTTGGTGTTGTTATTGAAGCCACTAGGCAGGTTGTTTGTAGGGCACTGGGCATTTTGTTATTGACGCCACTGGGCAGGTTGTTACAGACGCCACTGGGCGTGTTGTTATTGACGCCATTGAGCGTAATTATTTGTAAAGCCACTGGGCAGTGTTGTTATTGACGCCACTGGGCAGATTGTTATAGACGTCACTGGGCAGGTTGTTATAGACGCCACTGTGCGTGTTGTTATTGAAGCCACTGGGCAGGTTGTTTGTAAAGCCACTGGGCGGGTTGTTATTGACGTCACTAGGCAGGTTGTTTGTTAAGCCACTGGGCATGTTGTTATTGACGCCACGAGGCAGGTTGTTGTAGACGCCACTGGGCAGGTTGTTTGTTAAGCCACTGGGCATGTTGTTATTGACACCACGAGGCAGATTGTTATAGACGCAACTGGGCGTGTTGTTATTGAAGCCATTGTGCAGGTTGCTTGTAAAGCATTGGGCAGTTTATTGTTGAAGACACTTGGCTGGTTGTTATTGACGACAATGGACAGGCAGGTTGTTGAAGCCACTGGGTGTGTTATTGAAGACACTGGGCCAGTTGTAATTAAAGCCACTGGGCATGTTATTATTGACGCAATTGGGCAGGGTTTTTTATTAATGGCAATGGGCAGGATGTTATTGAAGCCACTGGACATGCGTAATTTAAGTTATAGACTGAGAGTTATTTAAGCCACTGGGCAGGTTGGTATTAAAGCCACATGGCAGGTTGTTTGTAAAGCCACTGGGCAGGTTGTTATTGACACCAGTGAAAAGTATGTTGTGAAAAACACTTGACTGGTTGTTATTGAAGCCACTTGGCATGTCGTAATTAATTAAGCCACTGGGCTGGTAGTTACAGTTATTGACGACTGGGCATGTTGTTATTGACGCCACTGGGCATGTTGTAATTGGCGCAATTGGGCATGTTGTTTTTTGAAGATACTGGGCTTGTAGTTATTGAAGACTCTGGGCTGGTTGTTGTTGAAGACACTGAGCTGGGTGTTGAGGACACTGGGCTAGTAGATGTTGAAGACACTTGCAGTGACTTGGCTGTTTGTTAATGAAGCCACTGAGCAGGTTGTTATTGCAGACTCTTGGCTGGTAGTTATTCAAGACACTGGACAGGTTGTTGTTAAAGACACTGGGCATGTTATTGTTGGAAACTATGGGCAGGTTGTTGTTGAAGACACTCGGTAGGTTGTTGTTGAAGCCTCTAGGCATGTTGTTATTGAAGACACTGTGCTGGTTGTTGTTGAAGACATTGGGCAGGTTGTTATTGAAGACACTGGACTTGTTTTTATTGAAGACACTGCGCTGGTTGTTGTTGAAAATTCTGGGTTGGTTGTTATTGAAGACACTGGGCCTGTTTTTGTATAAGCCACTGGGTAGGTTTGTTATTAAAGACACTGGGCTGGTTGTCGTTGAAAAGACTTGGCATGTTGTTATTAATGGCACTTGGCTGGTTGTTGTTGAAGACACTGGTTAGGTTGTTATTGAAGACATTGTGCTGGTTGCTGTTGAAAACACTGGACAGGTTTGTTATTACAGAAAACGGGCAGGTGGTTGTTGATGAAGCCACTGGGCTGTTTATTATCAAAGTAACTTAGCATATTATTACTAAAGTCACTAGGGCGAATATTTAGACAATACTGATTCTTATTGAAGCTATTAGGCTGAACTTCAGACATGCATATTGGTATATTATTTAACAAAATAAACTTCTTTAAATAGCTATATTAAAGATGCTGACATACACCTTGATTAAAATTTTTAGTTAAAATAACATTCACTGAGAAGTCCAATGTTCATAGGTTTCGAAATGATTCCAGACGTCTCTCAAATACAAGAGCCAGTGCTAACGCCTGTATTTCTGATAGGATTTTTCTGAATCATAACAGGTTAAAATGGGACAGAGGAAAGGATGGTTACGTTAGAGAAGACTTTAAAGCACAGTTATCTGTTTATCAAAATTTAGGAATTCAAATATTAGTAAATATTCAATGCTATTTTCCCATTCTTTGTGTTTCGAGCGCACTTGTCTCTGCAAGTTGCGTCTCCCATGTAAGAGTTTGTGGTTATTTGATAAATATTTTATGTTCGTTTGAGTTTACGAATTAGAATTTAAATGTATTTATCAAAGTTGTACAAAAATCGAACATGTAAAAATGTTGTTTGTTTATAGTTGACTAGTGTTTGGTTAATTATAGTAAGGTCGGTTCGATTGGGATATTGAGTTCATGCACGAGTGAACTCAGGTGGTTTAAAGTCATTCGAGCCATTGCAGTCAAAGTGTACAGTAGCATTTTGCCAAATAAATAATATTATTAATTATATTATTTATTTTCAGATTTGTAGACCACTAGTATGGGGAAACCAGTACATGTACAAGCTGCTTAATACCTGTGTATTTATATGAACTTTCCACAATATTATACTCATATTTATAATAAAATGTGCACTTGTCTCTGCAAGTGGCGTCTCCCATGTAAGAGTTTGTGGTTATTTGATAAATATTTTATGTTCGTTTGAGTTTACGAATCAGAATTTAAATCTCCAACATTTACTTATAATGGGATAAAAAAATAACAAAATGATATTGTCAAAAATATTATTTTTATTTCATTGTAAATTTTATAAAATGGAATGATTGATATAGAAACTTGTATATTGGAAAAAATCATATTATCAAATTGTTATGTACAAAATAAAGGAATTGCTTCATTTCTATATATACAATTATACATATAAATTACAAGAAACCCATTTTGAATTAATCTTCATGTAATCAGGTCAACAGGTATTGAACTTCACATTTTGAAAAACTTTGTAACCTACCATAAATTTCACAACCTTAAATATATATCAATAAAGTATTTATAATTAAAAAAAAAACAAAAAAAAACATGAATTTTGCTATCTCGCTTCAAGATTTACAAAATATCTGAGGACTTTATTTGGTTGTTCTCAGTTTTAAAACTATGGTTATCAAAAGGTTCTATACTAGTAACTCACAGTTAATGTAAATGTTATCAAAATGTCCCACACTAGAAACTAACAGTTGATTTAAATGTTACTGCAGTATTATTTTACTGATGATATCAACTATGATATGTTCTATATAATGAATGTACAAAATATAATCACTAACTTCTTTTATCTATATACATTGCATACAACTTACATATTTTAAAATGACAAAACAAAGCAATTATCAAAATCTCATTCCATTAACAACTGCTGGTAATTTTCAAATCTTAAAAGCAAATAATCACTATGCTTAGAGCATGAACATAAAATGTGTTTTAATTATTGGTATTTTCAAAGTTACAATTGTACAAATGTAAACAGATTTTTAAAGCACAACACAATAAATCAGACTGATTGATTAATGGCTACTTAACATCCATCAAATAAAAGTTAGAAGACTTCCTATTGTTCATGGTCTTTAAAAAATGTATAAATTAAACTGTTCAGTAATTTTTAAGAGTACATGTAAATAATATTTACTTAGGTAAAAACGGGAGTTTTCAATTGAAATCAAATTGTACAAATTCTTTTTTGTTAAATAGTAGACAATTAATCTATAAAGTATACACATATAGCAATGGATACAAAGAAAAATTGTATTTTTTCCAAGACATCTTTAATTTTCTATGGTGTTCTTAAATAAATTAAAAAGAACATAATCATAGCATTTGAAATAACATTACTGAAATAAATGGGTCATATAGGAATGATAAATCTTTTCTTAGAAAAACAATCAAGAAACAGTTCAATTTACATCCTGAGCGTTTGTAAAAATAATGATAGGAATGTGAAAACACAAACTATATACATGTATAAAGTATTTATATAATATGGCACAGAGAATACCACATGTGTCCAATGAAGTGCTGAACAAATGATTGCAAATTCTTGCATTACAAGAATATAAACCATTGAACAAAAAAAAAACCATGTTTTTATGAAGTGGTTTTAGAAAATATAAAAGAAAATTTTAAAGTACAATGTACTATAAAATAAGTAGTCTGGGTCCTAGTCCAATTTTTACTCCCATTTGCTAGTTCCAGATGGAATAGACATGATTAAAGGCAGTGCAGCCAAGAATTGGCAGTGCATGTGTAAATTACTAGTATTTAGATATTAAAAAAATTGAGAAAAGTTTAATAAAAAATACATACCATCAGTTTTGAAATTTAACATTTAGACCTCGAAACTACCTTAAATTGACTGTTTAAGTTATTGCTAGAAGATGTTTATAAGTTGTTTTCTTTAATGAAATGATAGTGATTTGATAAATAAATGATAAGAAATATAGTTTCAGTTGTAACATTGAAAACTGGATTGAAAATAACATTGTACAAATTTTGAATCAATACCAGATATTTACAGATTCTGTATATACATTATGTATAGATGATATCTACAATGGACAGATCATATATTGCATATTCAAAACTTCATCATTTTCAGAGAAAAAAATACTGCTGTTATTATCCAGGCTATTGTCCTTTTTGTCCAGTAGGTGGCAGCACTGTTACAACCATCAGCAGAACATGTATGCACACATGGTCTGTACATTCTGTCATGATCAGGGTAGATTACATTCTGACATCGGTCACCAAGATCTTTTGAACTGCAGAATCTGTGTGTCCCAACAATACCTGGAAAATAAAGAAACAAAAAATTAAAACATAAGAATTAGACAACAGTACTTACTTATTTAAGATAAAAAGACACAAAAATTCTAGTACCAGAAAATTTTTCCCGAAAGAAAGTTAAAAGTATGAGCATTCAAGTCTCTATTCTAAACATAAATATAGGTCACAGTCATATTAAAGAAATTTTAGGTTCTAAATCCTAAATAATAGGTAATAAAAAGAAAACTAATCAGTAAAAATTATTAATTTCAGAGAAATTATTTTGGTAAATTATTTTCTGGAAATAAAACCAAGAGAAATCCATCTTGCTTCTTTGATATTCAGTTCATTTGCAGTGATATCCAGTTTGATTATCTCCCCTGAATTTAAAACATTTGTGGATATGTTATCTCCCCTGCACAAATTACAGCTTCTTTTATTTGTAAAACAGTCAATAATACTAAATTGCAGTTGTATTTCTAAAAAAAGGGTAAAAGTTTTATTCGTTTTATTTTATTTTACTATTTGCAAATTAAAAAACACAAGTCATAGACTAGTAAAAGAAAAAAAGCACCCACAAAACCTATTCAATCCTGCAATACTATTGTACCACCATGGTCCATAGCCAGATATATTGTACACAGTGTAGATTGTGATCTTACCTCTCCATATTCCTGTAACTTTGACACAGTACTGAGCCAGATAGATTGTACACAGTGTAGATTGTGATCTTACCTCCCCATATTCCTGTAACTTTGACACAGTACTGAGCCAGATAGATTGTACACAGTGTAGATTGTAATCTCACCTCCCCATATTCCTGTAACTTTGACACAGTACTGAGCCAGATAGATTGTACACAGTGTAGATTGTGATCTTACCTCCCCATATTCCTGTAACTTTGACACAGTACTGAGCCAGATAGATTGTACACAGTGTAGATTGTAATCTCACCTCCCCATATTCCTGTAACTTTGACACAGTACTGAGCCAGAGAGATTGTACATGGTGTAGATTGTGATCTTACCTCCCCATATTCCTGTAACTTTGACACAGTACTGAGCCAGATAGATTGTGCAGTGTAGATTGTGATCTTACCTCCCCATATTCCTGTAACTTAGACACAGTACTGAGCCAGATAGATTGTACACAGTGTAGATTGTGATCTTACCTCCCCATATTCCTGTAACTTTGACACAGTACTAAGCCAGAGAGATTGTACATGGTGTAGATTGTGATCTTACCTCCCCATATTCCTGTAACTTTGACACAGTACTGAGCCAGATAGATTGTACACAGTGTAGATTGTGATCTTACCCCCCCATATTCCTGTAACTTTGACACAGTACTGAGCCAGATAGATTGTACACAGTGTAGATTGTAATCTCACCTCCCCATATTCCTGTAACTTTGACACAGTACTGAGCCAGAGAGATTGTACATGGTGTAGATTGTGATCTTACCTCCCCATATTCCTGTAACTTTGACACAGTACTGAGCCAGATAGATTGTGCAGTGTAGATTGTGATCTTACCTCCCCATATTCCTGTAACTTAGACACAGTACTGAGCCAGATAGATTGTACACAGTGTAGATTGTGATCTTACCTCCCCATATTCCTGTAACTTTGACATAGTACTGAGCCAGACAGATTGTACATGGTGTAGATTGTGATCTTACCTCCCCATATTCCTTAACTTTGACACAGTACTGAGCCAGATAGATTGTGCACAGTGTAGATTGTGATCTTACCTCCCCGTATTCCCATAACTTTGACATAATACTGAGCCAGACAGATTGTACATGGTGTAGATTGTGATCTTACCTCCCCATATTCCTTAACTTTGACACAGTACTGAGCCAGATAGATTGTACACAGTGTAGATTGTGATCTTACCTCCCCATATTCCTGTAACTTTGACACAGTACTGAGCCAGATAGATTGTACATGGTGTAGATTGTGATCTTACCTCCCCATATTCCTGTAACTTTGACACAGTACTGAGCCAGACAGATTGTACATGGTGTAGATTGTGATCTTACCTCCCCATATTCCTTAACTTTGACACAGTACTGAGCCAGATAGATTGTACACAGTGTAGATTGTGATCTTACCTCCCCATATTCCTGTAACTTTGACACAGTACTGAGCCAGATAGATTGTACATGGTGTAGATTGTGATCTTACCTCCCCATATTCCTGTAACTTTGACACAGTACTGAGCTAGATAGATTGTACATGGTTCAGGTTGTACAGGGTTGTTTTCCAGTCTGTGGTCAAACTTTTCAGCACAGTTGGAATCTAATGTTGAATTACACTGATAACAATTTAATCCAGAAACTGAAAAAAGAAAAATTTATGATAAAACTTTTCCAAACTTACATTTATATTGTCATTGGTGTTTTTTGTTTAAACTGTTTATTGTTAAGTTGCTGTTACATGCAAATTGATAAATTATCCCTTTTTCTAACTCTGCTTGCATTTAAACTACAAGCAAAATGTAATTCTGACCCATTTGATAAACTTTGATACATCAGACATTGATTAAATTTGTTGTATATAATAACATGCAATATCTATTTGGAACAATATACTTGGCCATTTCCTTAAAATTATTGGTTTACAATGTGTCAATATCCAAAGGGGGAGGAGGAGGATTTACAATGTACTATTAAATGGAATATCATAATATTATTATATAGGATGTAATACATGTATCTCCATTTGACCCATTGTGTCCAGCTGTTAATAAAAATCCCCATGCCAGGATCTATAATTTAATCTTACATCTACTTATGATCTGAATATTAAAAGCCTTAAGGTCAGTTGAAATAATACATTAATATGTAAATATTCTAATAAACAATGATAAATCAGGATATGGATTTATATTTAATTACAAGCAGTAAAACAACATGCATTGTATATGTATTGAACAACATAGATTTAGGGATAGTTCAAAATGTAAGGGATTACTCAATAAAAAAGATAAATCAATAAAAATTTACTATTATTTTACATTGAAAACAAATAAAGGAAATATTTTCTTTAAAGGTGATCATGCATAGGGGTATAAATGAACGGGTACATTATATTTATAGGAATTCTGGGATTTAATTTTTTGTTTGTCTGCGTGCAGCTTGTGATTACATATACATTTGTGCACATTCATTAAATTTTTACAGGTAACACAGGTAAATACAAAATGTTTAAAGATAATTCATAATAAATATGTTGATAGTAATTAATTTTGAACATATTTATAATTTTGATTATATATTCTTCATATACATGTAGACCAATTTCAAGTAATTTTTTATCAATGAGTTACATGAGTTGACTAAAGGTCAATCAGCGTAAATGTTGTCATTGAACATTCGGTTGTTACTGTGACGTAACTACATAAGCATTGTCAAATATGTGATAATGAAATGTACAGGAAAGTGCACGAATTTAAAAGTTGTATATTGAATTCTAAAAACAGTAAATGTAATCAAAAGCTGTGCACAAGCATAATGATTTTTAAGCGCAAATGTATACACTGATTTGAACAACTTTTTTCAAGGAACCAGTTTGTATTCAACAAAATTTATAAAGACAGAAAACTTCAATCTACTACTTTTAGAAACACTGAAAACTAAGCATCATCCTTAGAACAATCTAGACTTAATAACTTTTTGAAAATCTCAACTTCAAAATGTGTTTTGTTCAAGACACTGTAAAATAATCACTTTTTAAGTTAAAGCCTCAATAGAACTTAAATCTATTTTTCAGCCCTTACTGGACATCACAAAGGTTCCTGTAAATTTTTTATGTTATACTAGAAAATGTCTGACACCACAAAGGAAAAGTGATTGTAGTATGAAGTCCAGGGATGGGGTAATCGTAATCTGTAATCGTAATCGATTGTAATTGATTACATTTTTTCAAGTAATCGACTGTAATCTGTAATCGACAACATTTTCGATTACATGTAATCGTAATTTAATCGATTGCAGCAAAAATTATGATTTAATCATCGATTACTTTTCGATTACATTTCGATTACTTTAATAAAATAGTTTGATGGAAAAGAACCTAGTTTAAATAAAACTATACAACTGCATGTATTCATCGGTTTATAGTACAGATAAAATAGAATGTATAAATAAATGACTTGATAGTTTGTCAAATGACTTATTCAGATCTGATTTCTGAGGCTGCATAATGTTCAACCAGATTTCCTAACAAAGTTTACTGTATTTCCAGCTTTCAATACCTGTAAATACTTTAAAAGCTTTTATAATAAAAATTGGAAAAAATTATAAAATGGTCTTAAGTTCTGTACTACTTTGAAGTAAAAAGTTTATTTTAAAATTCCTATATATTAAAAAAAAACCAAACAATTATAAGAGTTGGATTTTTAGCACCTTTGATTCATCATAATGTTATGATATAAAGATAAAGAAAGGATACAATATCCTATTGACAATAAACCAATGCAATGAAATTATTGTTCAGTAATAGATACATGTAGACCATTTTGACACTAAAAATATATATTGATTATAATTTTGAATAGAGAATAAAGAATTGTTAATTGCCTTCTTCTCTTTACTAATCAGATGATCAAAGACTTTTAATCAATTAAATGCAGACTTTGCTTTGATTTCAATTGGATGTATGTCTAATTAAGTGTGAGATTTACATTTTATTATATTGCACTAGGTTATAAATTTTACTCCATTGGCATAATGTTATCACCTTAATTAGGGAGATTATCCAAACAAAAGGATAAATTCATGCATGTAATTATAAATTAAAAATTTTCATCTTTAAAATTAGCTGAGTTGATTATTACTTTTTGATATTTTTTATTTTAACTTCCAACATTGTGATAAACTATATCAAAATATACCGGTTACTTGATGATGAGTCAAAACAAATAACAAAACTTAAATCAGTATAACAGCAAGAAATATGGAGCAAATGGCCTAAATTATAAAGAATGGATTGATGTAATGGTCCATGTCATTGCAAGAACTTTATCAGCACTCACTCATGTTTAAAACAAAAATTTCAATAATTTTTGATTATTTTGGATCCTCGGTAAGCTTCCATCTAGATAACTGTCAACATAACATTTAGAATCTATTCTTTAAATGATGTTTTTGTAAGCTCTGAATTTTCTCTATAAATATTTTGAGCAACATAATTGTGTTCAACTTTCTTTATTATTTTTTTTTTATAATTTTGTAGCATGTAATTGATAGTAATCGAAAAGTAATGTAATTACTTTTAATAAAGTAATCGATGGTAATCGATTACATACAAAAATCAGAGTAATCAATTAATCGATTACACAAAAATTCTTCATGTAATCGATTATTAATCGATTACATTTGTCAGTAATCGTGCCCATCCCTGATGGCGTCAATAGTTCAAGTGTTGCAGATAACCAAATAGCGATAAGGTCTATAGAGCTTATATGTTCCACATGTATGCAATTGTTTTGTCAACCATGCTGGGGACATTGAATCCTATGCCTCATGTGGAGAGAGTGCCACATTTTCTGCACTTTAAGAACCCTTGTAACAACTCTATTGTTAAAGTTGTATGCTCTTACATCCTCCGAATGACGTCCGAAAGAAAAGCTACGGTGATAGGCGTTTTGACAAGGCTGCACCTACACTCTGGAACAGTTTGCCACATGATCCTCCTTGCGGAGTGTAAATTCTTAAGATGTTTTTAAAAAGCAACTCAAGACTCACTTATTTCAAACTGCTTTTAAGGATTTCTTGTAGATATTATATACTTTTAATTGACTGCATTAATTTTAGACTGTTTTTTTTTGTATATTTTAGGGTACATGCATTTTTCATTTTTAGTTTTTTATTAATTTTTATATGCTTGTTTGATTCTTGTAAGTTGGTGCTTTGTAATTTATGTTTTATGTATTTTTGTATTTTATTTATCTTCAAATGTGAAGCGCTTAGAGTAATTGTTGTTATTATATAATGCGCTTTATAAATATTGTATTTATTATATATTATTATAACTCTTTGAGGGGCCTGTAGGTGGCCTGTTGCAAGGCAAAATTTCTGTCCCTATCACTATACCCTCATTCTCCAGTTGCAGTCTAAATTTCCCCAACCTTAATCCTGGACGGCCTCTATTACAGGACCTATCTATTGTATTTATTGTTATTTTGTTCTCATCCTGAACATGCACAAAATATTTGTCACTGGACATTAAACAACCAACAATCAATCATGTAAACCATGCCGACTCTAAATATTTAGCTTATCGACTTGTTCAGCAGTAATCTTATGTAGAGGACTATCATCAGCTGATTAAAGGACCCTTAGGGAGCTAAACCATTTAAGTTTTATTGGGGGGGGGGGGGGGGGGGGGGGGGCTAGGATGAAAAATTTTGTCCTGCCTTTTTTCACATAAATTGTCATCCTGCCTTTTTTTTTGCCAAGTTGCTCATCCTGCCTTTTTTTTTACTCAAAACACCTGTCCTGCCTTTTTTTCAAATTTCATCCTAGCCCCAAATAAAAATCAAATGATAGCTCCCTTATATTCTATAATACACCTTATCACTATTCCCCCTTGACCCGAGAATCTGTCCCGCTTGAACTTTTGACGTCATACAACAATCACTTTCCCATTGTGGCGTCAGATATTTTCTATTATGAGGTCAACATTTTACGGGAACTTTTGTGATGTCCAGTAATGGCGGACAAATAGCGATAAGGTGTATTATTCCCAATATTTTCCAAATCTGATATGGATTTCTTGTCCAATTAAATATATGATTTTTGAAAGGCCATTTCAACTTTTGCTGTCTCCTTCCTAATTATTATTTTTTTTACATCTTTTGGGACTTTTTGCAGGTTACATGATGTTTTCTTCTTTAAAAGTAATCTGATGAGTCAACACCTAGGACTGTATAATTCTAGTTATCCAAAAAGCGATTTGCAGTTGCTATTTTATGAAGTTATGTGAATCATGTGATGCATTGAGTTATCACGCGGGCCACTGTTAAAAGTTTATGAAAACCTACCAGTATTTATAGAAAAATATATCAGTAAAAGGATTAATGTCTCCCGTGACATTATGTCAGTTATGTCTTCTTAATGTTTCTGTTTTCAAAATCAAGGTAAATGCGGAAATGAACACCTGCGATTTGAGCGACACCGTGTTTTGGAATTAAGGAAAGATAACTGTTGAGAAGACCTAGGGCGTGTTTTATTGGTCTCTTCTGCACATCTCCAGAATGTCTTCTGGTGAAGAGTCCAAAAAAATGAATCTGGGCCTCTTCTGGAGATATACTACGGAAGATCAATAAAACAAAAATTCAAATTGCCGTCGAATATAGCAGATTTTTGTTATGTTGGATGACATATTAAATGAAGTTTACGATGATTTTATAGAAAATTAAGATACGTCCGGTAGACATGACTGTAAAAGTGTGCTTTGTTCGTGACATTTTTCTTTGTTCTTTCCTCTAACTCAATTTTGCTAGACAAATCAGGCGTAAACCCCCACTATTTGATTTTTAAGAATAACCTTAAACTGCACAAAAATTCGTCAATGTTTGTCTCGAATGATCAAAAAGGTCATATTGTCTATCCAATTTTTTTAAAGTAACCAAACTGGATTATTTTTGTATAAAGCAAAGATATCGGAAAGTTCTCAAAATCATTTTTCTCTGGTGGTCCTTGAAGAAAATTTTCTGGTCCTAACTATTATTTCAATTGCATAATTTCGATGGTCAAAACCTTCGGACCACCACTTTTCAAAAATTTTCATTGTATATGGATCTATATGCAAGTATACAATGTATACCAGACATTTCTTAGACTGTTTTTTCTTCTTTTTTTTAATAAATCCGTTGGTTGTGTACTGATTGATACTTCAGTCTGGGAGAACAAGATTTATTTCAGTACTATAGTTGTAATTATAGCTTTGAACAAACTTTCAGTAATTGCAAATACTCTTATTTCGGTGCTTTGTGTCTATTGTCTTAATGTAAGTTATTTTTTTGTGTGTCTCGTACCGATCTTTTGAGTTAATCTAATTGCAATTGATTTGTGCAGGTTGTTCTTATATTGTACTGTTACACCACTATCACAGCTTCGGGGAGGGTTGAGCGTTCACAAACATGTTATTGTTCTGTTACACCACTGTCCCAGGTTAGGGGGCTGGTTGGGCCGGATCCCGCTAACATGTTTAACCCCGCCACATTCTGTATGTATGTGCCTGTCCCAAGTCAAGAGCCTGTAATTCAAGGCCGTAACTACCATTGAGGTAAGTGACTCTGAGGCAATTGCCTCACTAAAATTTCGACACTGAATTTTTTTTTTGGTGTATTTGTTTATGGTAATTAAATACGAAATATAGTCATTTGTTTTTTCTGTCCCAACCTTAATTTCTTCTATAACTTGAGTCACATCGTTCCTTTTAAATTGTTCTTCCCGGATATAACTCAGCATCTCACCGGGTTTCTCGATTACATTAACCTAGTAACGGTAATCATCATGGATCTCTCAGACTGGTTAAATCAGGCTCTTGCAGAAAAAGGAAAAGCGATACTGAAGGTGAGGAAGGAATAGTTCTAGTAAACTAACTGATGTTGTTTGTGATCACAACAGGTGTTAAGAGTTCGAGTAATGAATATATTTTCATTGGAACTAATCCAAAAACTAGAATTAGACTGACAAATCAAGTACTGCGGCACCCGCACGGGAGCAGTCCTATCTGCGTATTCATTTCCCCGTTTTCCACAACTTTATTCGTTAACTTTACAGATAAACAAAATATAAATAATATGAAACCTGCATGGATTAGTTTTTATCCATGTTTCTTTTACCTTAATTTTTTTAAGAACATCCCGTAATCCAATTTTGACATTATTGAGGGACGGTGTTTTCCAATTCGGGACTACGGAATTTCGTTTCTTTTCATTCGGGATTTCGGGATCGGACCCCCTCCTCCCCCTCATTATTCGATTCTCGATCTAAAATATCAGTGACGAGTGTTTGTTGTGAACGTTCTGTTTCTGCCCTGAGACGACTGAAAACTTGGGAAAGAGCATGCATGATTGGTGAGAGACTGTGCGGTCTTGCCATGCTCCATGTTCATCGCGATAAGGATGTCAGCAGACCAAATATTCTGAAACGATTTGACGAAACCGGTCATAGAAAAATTGGCAAACTCCAATTTGAATAACAATTGCTACTGAGTCGATGTTTGTTCTGTGTTCTGGCGGCAGACTCAAATTGATATTTGGATGTTTATCTGACATACAAATCTATATAAAGTTGTTTAAAATTTGGTGTTAGTACATGTCTTAAAATATGAAAAATATATAAAAAAGTGTCAAAAAATGAAAAAGATGTCAAGCTCTCTGTATATGCCCAGAATACAGGATTTTACACCATCTATCCCAGACCCCTTGCCAACATTTTTTGCCTCGCTCCGCTCGGCTCAATTTTTTCAGTTTTGCCTCACTAAAATAATATGCCTAGTTACGGCCTTGTAATTCATTGGTTGTCGTTTGTTGCTGTGTTACATATTTGTTTTTCGTTCATTTTTTTGTACATTAATTAGACCGTTAGTTTTCTCGTTTGAATTGTTTTACATTTGTGATTTCGGGGCCTTTTATAGCTGACTATGCGGAATGGGCTTTGCTTATTGTTGAAGGCCGTACGGTGACCTATAGCTGTTAATTGCTGTGTCATTTGGTCTCTTGTGGAGGGTTGTCTCATTGGCAATCTTCGTTTTTATATTAACCCTGCCATTTTCTTTGTGTGCCTTTCCCAAGTCAGGAGCCTGTAGTTTAGTTGTTGTCGTTGGTTCATGTCTCGACTCATATTTGATATTTTGTAAATTATTGTGTTATGTATAATTAGGCCGTAAGTTTTTTCGTTTGAATTGTTTCTCACACTTTTCACGTCGGGTTTTGTCATTGTTGAAGGCCTTAATTACGGTTGCCTATAATTGCTTACATCCACTTCATATTTGAACTCCGGTGGATAGTTGCCTCATTAGCCATCATACATTTCTTCGTTTTTATTTATTTACCTGACTTTTAAACTCGTGTTTCCTGAACCGAACCGAATCCTGAACCTGCATGACATATTTGTCACTGGGCGTTAAAAATTAGCAACAAACAATCAATCAATTTAAACTTGTGTTAAATAAGAAGAAAAACCATTTGATATTCATTCATTTATTGGGGTGGGGGCAGGAGGATTTCATATATGAATATGGTTGGCCGGTAAGAGCTGAAAAATAGGCATAATTATCGACAGATTAAAAAAGTTAATTATGCCCTCTTCCCTTCCCCATCCTTCATCTATAAATTTAAACTGATCACCACGGAATAGCCCAACTTAGTGTTGAAAGTAGCGTTAAACACCAATCAATCAAAATCCCTTCCCTAGAATATCAAATAGTGGTCCCTTAACTGTTATTGTCCGTGTAGTTCTTATATTTATACAGCTTATCGTCCTACATGGATGTCCTACTAAGACTGTCATACCATAAAAACGTTTATAACACAGCTCACATTCTAATATATCTGCATTCATAAATTTATTAATGTCATTTAGACTAAACGACGCCATGTTTGTTATGTGCCTCTGCCGTCTAAACTACCTATCAAAAAAGAAGAGGTGGAAGAGAGCCAGAAGATCTTCCCTATGCAAAAAAACAGAAATGGACCTCTTCTGGCTCACTACCGAAGAACAAAAAAACACGCCCCTACATTCCACGAACATTAAGAATACAATATAAACCACTAAATGCACATACTTCAATCAATTTTACTCCAGTATGTTAATTATATTTGCTATAAATTGGTGTTGACTCTTCAAATTAAAACTGTTCCCTGTTTTTTTTAAGTTGAAAGTAGGACAAACACAAACTATAACCAAGGACCAAAAAAACAATGGACCTGAATGAAAGGGAGGTTATTTATTTACGTGTAAAATGTATACAAATAAAAACAACTCAAGAAAAAAATCATGTTTATTTATAGGCACTGGCTACGGTTACATTTAAATGTAACAATAATTAAAAAGTTATTGTTATATTGGAGACTAACCGATATATTACGAATGTAACAATAACATTTGAGTCTACGGTTACTTGTGTTATTGTTACGTTAATGCACTTCAATGTATGGTGGGACTAGTAATATGTTTTAAAATAAAACTTTTACAAATACAAATACAAATATTTGTATTGGCACAAACTCATTAACAATATTATGGTTAAAACCTATAAACGTATTTACACTTTTGGTATCTAGCTATATTTTGCATCCGAATGACCTTAGATCTACTCCGAATCAGCTTTTGACGTCAGGCAACAATTACTTTTTAATTGTGACTTCAAATGTTTTGAATTATGATGTCAAAGTTTACGGGAACCTGTGTGATTTTATGTAATGGCGGACAAATTTGCATACAAGTGTAAATACGTCTATTGCATATATATAATTAGGGCCCCGCCAAATGGCGGCCGCCCTATAGTGATCAGTCTGTCTGTCCGTCTGTCTGTCCGTCCGTCCATCCGTCCATAACAAATCGTGTCCGCTCTATATCTAGAGAACCGTTATGATTTCAAAGTTTATACTTGACATGTATATGAACCAACACCAGAGGGTGTGTCATAATGTATGTTCAACTTCCTAGGTCAAAGTTCAAGGTCAAAAACTTTGGTTTTAGTTGACAACCCCATGTATATATCTTGAAAAAATTGGCACAAACTCATTAACAATATTATGGTTAAAACCTATAAACGTATTTACACTTTTGGTATCTAGCTATATTTTGCATCCGAATGACCTTAGATCTACTCCGAATCAGCTTTTGACGTCAGGCAACAATTACTTTTTAATTGTGACTTCAAATGTTTTGAATTATGATGTCAAAGTTTATGGGAACCTGTGTGATTTTATGTAATGGCGGACAAATTTGCATACAAGTGTAAATACGTCTATTGCATATATATAATTAGGGCCCCGCCAAATGGCGGCCGCCCTATAGTGATCAGTCTGTCTGTCCGTCTGTCTGTCCGTCCGTCCATCCGTCCATAACAAATCGTGTCCGCTCTATATCTAGAGAACCGTTATGATTTCAAAGTTTATACTTGACATGTATATGAACCAACACCAGAGGGTGTGTCATAATGTATGTTCAACTTCCTAGGTCAAAGTTCAAGGTCAAAAACTTTGGTTTTAGTTGACAACCCCATGTCTTATGGTAAAGATCGTGTCCGCTCTATATCTTGAGAACCGTTATGATTTCAAAGTTTATACTTGATATGTATATAAACCAACACAAGAGGTAGTGTCATAATTTATGTACAACTTCCTAGGTCAAAGGTCAAGGTCAAAAACTTTGGTTTCATTTGACAACCCCATGTCCAATGATAAAGATACAAAATTTTTACCACACATTATTCACAGCGGGGCCCACAGAGATGGCTCCCATCTCAATGATATCTAGTTATATTAATTGACATGGTAGAATGAAAATTTACTTGATAACATATATAACATTTATTTTATTTTCTAATATTTCTCATTTTGAGGTAAATCTATTACATTGTAATAAGAAACGTTGTTCATCTTCAATTTCCCCATTTTTACAGACAGGACAGTATCTTTCCTCTCTAGGAATGTTAAGATGTCTTCCCCTTTCAATCATTAAAGAATGTGCACTTATGCATATTTTGCATATTACTGCTTTATCAATTAAATTGTTTAGTGAATCAACATATGATGGTCTTTGACCCATTTTGTAGACTTGAGGAAAGAAACTGAGTTTAGAAGATTCCTGTATGTTTGCATTTTGATTTTGCAAGCACTGATCATAAATTCTTTGTTTTACTTGTCCCAAGTGCTGCTTTGTTAAACATATCCTAATTTTTGTTACAATATTGCATACAATTTTTAAAATTTTTATTTACAATGGCAGTTTCTACACATCCAGTATGTTGTTTTGGGAGCATGTTTCAGTCCGACTCATATTGTTGAAACCACTCTAGGCAGCGATCACAAATGAGTGATGCAGCAATGTTCAAGTCAGTTTTGCAGACTTTACAATTCCACTCGGCAATATCCCATTTTGAAGTTATAGAAACTTTCAATGTCTGCCATGCCATGCTTGAAATGCATCCCAAGTTTTAAATTTTTCACCCAAAACAAATTTGGTAATAGGAATCACTTCATCCATTTTTCAAAGTTTAATGACAGTAATAAGGGTAGGTGTGCAGTTAAAATAAAATGATAGCTGAAAAGATCAGAAAAGCATAAAGGCTTAATTGTAAATGTAAATAATCTTTTTGCCACTTGCCGATTTGATTCTGTTATGACACGCTTTTAACACAAATTGCTTTTTTGTCAATTATAGACCATGTAGACTGGTTCTATACCTAAAAAAAAATTGGCTTCTGCCGAGCATGCAAAACAATCATGATAAGTTAAAAATGATAAATCGATCAGTGCATTTTAACCTTTTTCGGTGACAAAATTTTAGCTTAAAAAAAATTTAATGTAATTAATAGATGTGAAAAACTTGAGGGTTACACATTACACAGAGATAAATTTGCTCTTTCCGCTGGCTCTCCATTGTCATTGAAAATTTATGTCCCTCCTACTTGTTACAGCCTTTTTGACAATCTTCTGACATCCAATTATTTTACAGTCTTAACACTGCAGATGGGATAGGTTATTATAATAGTACACTACTTCTTCATCATAGAGTTTCCCCTATGGTCATGATGGTTGTCCATTAAAAAACATTTAACACTTTAAAAGTCTTACATACCAATTACATAATTTTTAATTAATAGTTTCAAGCTACTCCTGACTAACTGCAGTTTGTATGGCTATTTTTAAAAATTGAGTTCACTTTTAATATAAAGATATACCAAATAACACATAATGAAACTGACTAGATTAATTTAAAAAAGAAAGAAAACAGAAGCATTTAAAACATATTGAGTGAAGCATTTGTTAAGTTTATACATTTGTGAATGGAAACTACACAGAGAACAATAGCTATGGTATTAATTCAATGGGACAAGTGAACTGACAAAAGTTTAAATACCTTAACCAAGAGGAGATGACTCTTCGGAAAAGTATCATTTAGTTCCAATAAAGGTCCTAGTGAATAAACTACACAGAGAACAATATACAATTATGGCCCGTTGAAAAGGTGAATATATTCATCGCATCTAAGGGGCCACAATTGTTTTATTATACCGAACTAACAGTGGAAGGGCATTTTGAATCATTGTAAAAGCACTTACCCTTAGTAACAAACACAAGTTGACGTTCAAAAATACATGTAATTTGTGTCTTTGAATTCTCGTATGTACAACAAAGGTAGATTCTTTTTGTAAAATATTGATGGCCCTGAAAAGGACCGTTATTAGAGAAATCATCGGCACAAGATGCACGTCAAAAGCCTTATTTCCTCTTCTCTCGATCAATGGGCTTCCTGTAACTTGAACGTTGCCATTTTGTTTATTTACGTCTGTGACGTCATTTTCATGAGTACAAATCAACAAACTAAAAAGGTTATTCGCCGGTGAATAATAGGGTTATTCAACGCTGGTGTAAATTTTTAGGGTTATTCGTTCTTCCTTGCAATTGAATGAAAATTAACTGAATTATTCCATGTCACGTGATAACGTTTTACCCAATAGAATTGTTTGAAATATATGTAAGGTATAATAATAGCTATTGTATTTATTCAATGGGACAAAAGAACTGACAAAAGTTTAAATACCTATACCTACAAGATGAAATGATTCTGTGGAAAAGTTTCATTTCTTTTGCAATAAAAGAAAAATATTGATTCATTTCAGTTGCTGCACAGTGGATGAATTGTGAATTCTTGAGATAGCTGAAGACCATGGCATTAACTACTCAATCCATCCTGGCATATTGTGCATCTATCACAGCCTTTAGTCTTATTAGTGGTGCCTTTTCATTCTACTATGTGAAAGTTTTCATGAATTTTTATCACATTGATGAGAAATGGTTCCAGATGTCTCAAGTGTTGTTTATGATCTGGAATGCCATCAATGATCCATTATTTGCATACGTCCAGGATAGTACAAATTTATCATTTACAAAAACACGCAGAGAAAGTATAATGTATTCTGGTCCTTTGTTTGCATTGTCATTCATAATACCATGGATACCATGGGGACATGGTACGTGGATTGTTGGACTTCATTTAATTGTAGCCTTATTTATATGGGATACCATGTTTACCTTCGTAGGATTAGCAGTTTGTTCATTATTTTCTGAGCTTTCTAAAGACACCAATGACAGAATAACCTTAACAAGATTTGCAGAGGTTGCTAGGTTGTTTGGAGGAACAAGTGTTCTGTTTCTAGAATTCACCTCCAATAGTCTTCACAATTTCCTAGCTTTTCAGATAACCACAGCATTTTTAGCTCTGGTTTCATGGACATTGTTTAGATACACCGGAAAAAATGCTCACACTGAATACGATTTGAAAGAAATGAATTTATCAGAAAAAAAAGATGGAGATATTGATATATCACATGCGAAAACAATGGACGAATCTTACTGTAAACAGACATGCCAGATTTTATCAGACAGAAATTTTATATCATTTGTCATCACTAACTTTTTTCACCAATTTCACAATACATTCCTCAGTAACTTTACAGCAATCATCTGTGATCAGTTAATCACAGAGAATGATATTCCACTTAGTGTTAGAAAGACATTCTATGGTGCAACTACAATTTCAGCATCGGTAGGTCATTACTTAATAAGATGTTTATAATTTTCCTTAAAAGATTTGTTGATTTTTGTCTAGCCTTAATGGTCTTAAAAAGCAAGACTTTTATAGGTATGCTGTTTAGGTTGGTGGTTGCAGTGGCATCAACATTTAAAAAAAATTAGGTCGGGTTAAAGGGAACCGCTAGTTGTAAATCAATGATTTTTGGTATGCAGTTGTATAAGCATTGGCACATCTCATTTCCACAGAAATTATTTGCCCTGTTCCTTCAGTTATGGTTTATTGACTGAATATTTTCCATAAATTACACGTTCAAGTATTGCTATTTTTATTTCAACATTTGGATTTTACTACTGTAAACATAGAAATTATTGTGAGGTTTTTATTAATGCAAATAATGGGACTAGGTGAATATCACAATTATAAGAACTCGCATTCTCTTAACTTACACGTATTAAAACTGTATGCAGATTTTCCTGAAATCGCAATAATTAATCTCGCATTTTTGTTCGTTTTTCAAAAATTGCAATAATAAATGCAGCAATAATTTCTGAATAAACAGTGTCATTTTTACATATAGGCGAGATATATCTCTGTGTCAACAATTTATTTTAAAACATTTTAACTTTTCAAATATGAAATATTAAAACTGTTCAGCTGTAAGTACTTTGTTTCCTACATTCAAGAGAAAGATGTCTCCCATTTTGTATTGACTACCGTGCAGTGCTAGATTCTGTGTTAGAATTTTAATATTGCTAAACCAATAATAGAAAATTACTGTAGGTGTTTTGAGGTATTTTTTCAGTACATGTATTTCTGAAGTTCTATTGAAACCTTGGGTAAATGTTTGGCTTTAGAGGATATGTTTAGAAAAAAAAAAAAAAATTCTGGTACAGAAAACAAAAGACCATGGTCTCCAAAGCTCAAACGACTGGATGTGTGCTAACTCAATGCATGTGAAGAAACTAGCCTCAAACCACCACCCTAGTAAATTGTCCTTTTGGCCAAATTTGGTAATAATACTCTTCAAATCCATAGGTTCTTAAATATTCAAACACCTAAATAACATTCTACCACCTTCTAGTACCATGTGCAGCAATTTGTCATTTAAGATTTGGGTACTACATAAATCGAGATCATGCTCCCACTTACTGTAAATTCAGAAATTATTGCATGCATTTATTATTGCGATTTTGTCATTTTAGACTAAAATGCGATTTCATTTTTTGCGATATTAAGAAAAATCCTGTTTAATTCATAAACAAAAATTCTAAATGCGAGTTTAAATTATTGCGATTATAACTCTGTCGCATTTTTCGCAATAATAAAAACATCGCAATAATTTCTGAATTTACAGTAATTAAATAAAAGGCTGTATTTTTGTTGTTGTTTGATTTCAGGTGTTGGTGATATTTGGTGCACCATTGATTAGAAGATATTCCTATTTTTCTGTGATCAGGTGTAGTTACATGTACACAGTTGTGGCTGGGATTGTAATGTATGTTTGGGGATGGAACAAACCATGGCTTCTTATGCTCTTTGTCTTGTTAGATAGGTAAGTTCATATCACTTGTACATGTATGTTGTCTGGGGATGGAACAAACTATGGCTTCTTATGCTCTTTGTCTTGTTAGATAGGTAAGTTCATATCACTTCAATACATGTATGTTGTTTTGGGATGCAACAAACCATGGCAGCTTATGCTCGTTGTCTTGTTAGATAGGTAAGTTCATATCACTTGTATGTTGTCTAGGGATGGAACAAACCATGGCTTCTTATGCTCTTTGTCTTGTTAGATAATAATAATAATAATAATAATAATAATAATCAATTCTTTATTTAAAGAGAGTAACTCAATTAGAAGTAGTCTAATTTTCATTGAGGCCCTCAAACAAAATACATGTATACAGTTAACATTCATACATTCGATTCATACATTAAAATACAATATATATTACTAGTATATACACAATTCAATCATTCAAACATACAAATGGCAATAAATGGCAATAATTGGTAAAGTTTTGATTAAATTTTCTTATTCTTACAATAAAAGAAAGAAAACAAATTATTCGACTTGCATAGAATTTTCAAGAAAATGATTATAACAATGTTTCTTAAATAATTCCACATTTCGACAATTTTTTATTTTGAGTGGTAAATTATTCCATACCTTTGTTGCAGAACAATGAAAAGATTTTTTATAAAAATTTGTGTTTGGTCTTGGAACAAATAGATCATTATTAGAGACAGATCGTAAGTTGTGGTGTTGCACATCATTAATATTTAGCATTGTTAAGTAATCAGGTGTTTGTCCATTTACAATTGTATACATTAGAATTGATTGTTGGTATTTTATTCTTTTTGTAAAAGAGAGCCATTTTAAAGATGAAAACATAAAATTAGATGGAACAGAAATATCGCATTCAAGTATAATTCTTGCTACTCTTTTTTGAAGTTTTATGATTCTATCTGAATCTTTTTGTAATAAATTTCCCCAAACTGAACTACAATAGTCTATATATGGTAGAATATATGCATTATAAAATAGTTGTCTTGTGTGTATAGGCAAATATACTTTAATTTTAAACAAAAGTGATATTTTAGATGAGATAATCTTGCATATACGATCAACATGATCCTCCCAGCTTAAATTTTCATCAATGTCAATTCCAAGTAATTTGAAAGAATGGACATTTTCAATACATGTTTCATTGATGGTAATACATAATTCTGATAGTTGTGTAAGTTTTTGTTTTGAACCCAATTTCATACACTTTGTTTTTTGTGCATTAATTTTCATACTGTTATTGTTAGGTAAGTTCAAATCACTTGTACGTGTATGTATATCTGGGGATTGAACAAACTGTGGCTGCTTATGCTCTTTGTCTTGTTAGATAGGCAGGTTCATATCACTTGTAAATGTATGTTGTCTGGGGATTGAACAAACCATGGCTTCTTATGCTCTTTGTCTTGTTACATTGTAGATAGGTAAGTTCATATCACTTGTACATGTATGTATGTCTGGGGATTGAACAAACTGTGGCTGCTTATGCTCTTTGTCTTGTTAGATAGGTAAGTTCATATCACTTGTACATGTATGTTGTCGGGGGATGGAACAAACCATGGCTGATTATGCTCTTTGTCTTGTTAGATAGGTAAGTTCATATCACTTGTACATGTATGTTGTCGGGGGAGTGAACAAACTGTGGCTGCTTATGCTCTTTGTCTTGTTAGATAGGTAAGTTCATATCACTTGTACATTTATGTTGTCTGGTAAGGAAAAAACCATGGCTTCTTATGTTCTTTGTCTTGTTAGATAGGTAAGTTTATATCACTTGTACATTTATGTTGTCTGGTAAGGAACTAACCATGGCTGCTTATGCTCTTTGTCTTGTCCGATAGGTAAGTTTATATCAATTGTACATGTATGTTGTCCCGGGATGTGGGGATGCTAGGGGGAACTAACTCTGCATGCTTGACCAAGGGGATAGGGGGTCAGTCTATTTAATAGACTTAAGACAGACAAGTGACAAAATTATTTACCCTAAAATGTTTAACAATTTAATAAGTATGCCAAAGGTAGATCCAAATAAGTAAAATAATGCACTATTGAAAGTTAATGTCACTGTTCTTCAGAATTGTCCAAACACTTTGTAGAATCACCAGCTGGAATTGTCCAAAATATGAATTTGTAGAATTATCTAATTTTAACTGTGAGAATTGAATTGTCCCATATGTTAGAGTAACTGAGTTAAAACGGTATCTTGGGTTGAAGGTCTTGATCCAATTATCAATTGACATTAAACAAATAGAGACAGCAACAATTGCAGCGAATGACTAGATTCCTGAATAGGGACAGTCACAAAATGTCTGCTGCAGTTGAAATAGTTCTGTGAATATTCAACCCAACCTGTATCATCATGATATTCCAAAGAAGGAGTCTGTAATTTAGTGATTGTCGTTTGTTGCTGTATATCATATTTGTTTTTTGTTCATTGTTTTGTACATAAATCAGGCCGTTAGTTTTCTCGTTTGAATGGTTTTACATTTGTTATTTCGGGTCCTTTTATAGCTGACTATGCGGTATGGGTTTGGTCATTGTTGAAGGCCGTACGGTGACCTATAGTTGTTAAATTCTGTGTCATTTGGTCTCTGTTGGAGAGTTGTCTTATTGGCAATCATACCACATCTTCTTATGTTTATATAGGGGCCTCGGTTGCCGAGTGGTCTAAGTAGTTACTACTGTAATCACTAGCCAGTCAACACTGAGGTTGTGAGTTCGAACCCCACTCGTGCGGGTGCACTCGACTCCAATCTTAATTGACTAGGATTGTCAGTTACCCTATCGAAGGTCGGTGGTTTTTTTCCGGGCACTCCGGCTTCCTCCACTAATAAAAACTGGCTGCCACGAAATAGCCCAAAAGCGGTGCTTAAAAGTGGCGTTAAAACACCAAAAATCAAATCAAATCATATGTTTATATTGTCTTTATATCATTAACATTATAGAATGCTCATAAAAAATCAAACAAAGCATTGAACACATTTATACGGGTTTTACTGAACTTGAAAACATCATATACATTTTTTACCATATTAAATATAATTTTATTGAAGAATGCTCATTGTGACTGAAAGCAAGCTTAAAGTGCTAAGTATGTTGAATGTGATAATGTGCCTTTTTATTTGTAATATTGGCCAATGAAATGCAGGTATTTTCCTATGGCTTTACTTTTTGTCTGGTGAGACTTTAATATAAAGGCATGCTGTTACAGGCGGCATCATCAACAATTAGTTTAAGATTGTGACAAGGTCAGATTAAGGGGAACCTACTACTACAGGTTTTTAACGACCTTGACTGGCTATAAAGCCCTTGCATGGTCCGTATTGAGGTTAAGGGGAACCACTAATGAAAAGTAAATATTTGGTATCAGCAGCTGTACTAGTTGTATTACCTTTGGTACATCTAGTTACCATGGAGATTATTTGGCCACCGTCACATAATCATGGTTCATTGACTTTGAATCTTTTAGAAAATATCAAGGGGGCAATCACAAACCATAAGTTATGAGAATATCATTGCCAAAAATGAAAATGGTGAGTAAGACAAAAAAAGCAGCCCCCAAAATACTACACAGAAAATAAATATAAACAACATGAGCTCTACCAAAAACTAGGATTAGAACTCAGGTTTTCAAGAAAGTAAGAATTCATATTGAGTTTGGTGATTAGACATTATTGAAAGTTAGTTATGTGTAATGCCAGATATTCTTAGATTTAAACTCATAATAAAGCTGTTACTTGTTTAAAATTGTCTTATTTGTGTAACTATATTTACATCAAAATCTTTTATATTTACAGTTGTGTGACTTTTGCCTCATTTTCTCTGTTTAATATGCCGTTATCAGATATAGCAGACGACAACATGACAAAGTACAAAAGGAAGTAAGTAAAATTATCGCTATTTTATGAAATTTTCCTTTGATCTTGCTGACTGATAATTTCTTTCTCAGCGGAGTCGAGTGATATGAAAAATTATCGCAAGAAACTAAGGGGGCACGTGGCGTTGCTAATGAAATTGACAACGTTGTCATGGGTAAAATAGCGATAAACAGATTATCATTGGTCATCTCAACTCGATTGCTTTTCTCACTTTCGCCGTACCGGCTCAAGCGTGAAAATTAATCTCGTTGAGATGATCAACGATAATCCATAAATATATGATTTGTTTTGTCAGAGAGAGACTAGGCCGACAAAGTCCTCAAGGATACTAGTCTTTGTAATTATTTACTACCAGTATGCCAGATGGCCCTTTCTCCTACCCAAAACTCATCAGTGGTAGTTGAACAGAAAAGTTGGATCTACTTAGCACACTAAATCAATTATGAATTTAAAAGTCATTTAAAACCAGAAATTTAAAAAAAATTATGCCAAATCTAAAAAAGCCATCAATACCTGTTTTAAATGAGCATTTGTACATCAATTTAAAAAAAAAATTGGCGCATCAAATAAATGTCATGTCTGCACAGTGCTGACTTCTGCCTATCTGGGCTAGTGATCACCAGATAGGAAAGTTAGTAAAAATTCATCATAGAAAAATGGCTTATAATTACACTATTGCAGACATGCATTTCATCTACACAAGACTCATTGATATTGTGTGTGCTAGAATCAGTTGGATTCATTTTTCCAATACAGTACAAACCAATTCAACATCTTTGAAGTCACTGTGACCTACATTTCATTCTTGAACTACTATTATTTATGTTTCACATTTTGACCTAAAAGATTGTTAAATGTTAACTATACATTTTAATACTTTCAAATACAAAATAATGTATCATCTGTTAAAAACAGTTTATATTACAAGATGAAATGGTTGTATGTCAGTAATGATTATTCTCCTTCTACATGTGCATTTTATTGTAAATCACATTTCTTGAATATTTTTACAATCATGATCTTTATTTTATGCTTGGATGAACAATTTTAATCCAATGTGGTAGCTTTTTCACAAAGAGTAGTCTTTTTATGACAGTGAATCTTATCTTGTAGACATATCATTTTGTTTTTTTAATGTCAGAATTATTCTATGAAAATAAAAGTAAATCAATAAAATGCTATATTTCTATTTCAGACATCCGATATCATCTATGGTATTTGGAACTAATGCATTAATTACAAAGCCTGCAATCTCATTGACACCAATGTTTGTTGTTGCCATTTTGAATCTCTATGGTTACAGTGAATTGAAAGACCAAAAAGGAGAAGGATCTGAAGAACTTAGAACAGCTATGTTTACCTTAGTCTGTTTTTACTCAGTTATTATAGGAACAATTCAGTTTATTTCATGGTCATTTTTCTCTATTCGAGGAAACACTAACGCAACATGTACAGATTTTTGAGCTTTTTAAATTGAATATAGAAATAACAAACATAACAAAGGGATCCTGAGTCTGGTTATGATGATTTCATCTTTTATGTGTTAGAATTTGAAATAATATAATTACTGTAAATTCAGAAATTATTGCAATGTTTTTATTAATGTGAAAAATGCGACAGTATCAAGTTCACTATAATAAATACTAGCATTCATAAATTCAGCAGTGATTTTCTTTCATACAATTTTTATAATCACATTACTTTGATTAAGCATTAATTTCTGTAAGTGTTCATCAATTTATCAGTGTCTATTTGGTGCAGCTCTTGAGCTTATCTCACAGGCAGAGTCTTGTTGAGGCATTGACACAGTTTGTTGGCTGTTGTCTATCCAACATTTTGTATATTTGTATGAATGGAAACATAGTTGCTAGAAATTATTTTTGTAAAATCTATATTTTTGACACTGCACACTATTCAATGAATTTGTCATTACAAGAATGAAATAAGATCAGATATGTTCACCAAATTTCAAAAAAGTTTTTAAATGAAAAGGTATGATGTGTGGCTCATTGCATCAGAAAATAAAAAGTATTTTAAAGTTCTCAAAGAAAAATATTTCTAAGATGTCTAACACGCATATTTTTTGTGTTTCACCTTTTTGCTAAGACTGATGCTCATATTCAGATGGGGATCCAGGATTTTGAAAAATGGGGGGCCTGGGCCTCGAAAGTAGACAACATTTGGAGTGGGACATGTATAAAGTCTATGCATTAGTCATATATGTAGTTCTGTTAAGTTGGGGGCTGGGCCCCCCTAAATCCGCCTCTGATATTTAATTTTAACAAAAAAGCTAGAGATTTTGATGTCACAGTGACATCACAGAAGATAATTCCAAAAGACTATCAACAAATATAAAAATAAGGAGAAGTGGTATGATTGCCAATGAGACAACTATCCACCAAAGTTCAAATACAGTGGATGTAAGCAATTATAAGCAACTGTACAGCCTTCAACAATGAGAAAAACCCATACCATATAGTCGGCTATAAAAGGCTCCGACATGAAAAATATGAATCAAATCAATTGAGGAACCTACGGTCTAATTTATAACAAAACTATTTATGAAAAACAAATATGACAGACATGAACCAGCGACAACCACTGAACTACAGGCTCCTGACTTGGGACAAGCACATAAAGAATGTGGCAGTATTAAACATGTTTGTGAGCGCTAAACCCTCTCCCTAACCTGGGACAGTAGTTTAACAGCACAACATAAGAACAAACTATAAAAAATCAGTTGAAATGGCTTAAGTAAACATATTTTGTAAAAGTTTATTATTATTGCCTCTTTGACTCATTTGTCGTCTGTGACTATAACAGTATTCTTATTGTTGAAGTGTTAGGTTTTAGTGTTAACTGTTGTTAGTCCATAGCATACACCTAATTGATTGGTCTTGTTTCTGTATTGTCCTCTAATTTACCATTATTGATCCCCCTAAATACATTGATAGTTTCATATATTTTTTGCCTGTTATTTGTTATTAATATATATAATTATACTCCATTTACGCAACATAACTCTCAGACCTTGAAGTTGGCACAGTTATGTAGATTATTGGGAATGTTTGTTGAATTTTAAGGACAATCATGTGATTTTTTATGATTTTTTTTGTCTTGCCTGCAACAAAAGTTACTGCTTGAGAAAAAAAGGGATATTTATACCTGTGGCCTTGAGGGATTAAACTATTTGAATACAGCTTTATATTTATTTTTATTTAGATCTGGATACTTCATATCTTGTATCCAGATCCTGAAGTTTCCGTCTGGCATATGTCCATTGTCCTTGACCTCATTTTTCAGGTTCAGGGAATGCTTGAAAAAACTGTGTAGTTTTTTTCTCACTTATTGTGAGTGATAGGACAACTATATTTGGTATATAGGATCATTGCAAGATATACATGTCCGTCAGACAGGGTTCACCTGACTTTGACCTCATTTCATGCTCCTATAAACAAAAGGTCAACTATAATTGGTGTATGGAATGATTGTAAGGATTACATGTTCCTGCAAGGTTCATCTGACCTTGACCTCATTTTTATGGTAGGTCAGTGTTAAGTTTTCCTGGTAAGTTTTGTTTCTCAGACTGTAAATCATTGTTTTACTATATAAGGTGTATGGAGTGATTGTAAGGTAAACATGTTTGTCTGGCAGGGTTCATCTGACCTTGACCCCAATTTCATAGTTCACCGGTCAGATTTAACAATTAAGCTTTCATGGTTAGGTTAGTTTCTCAGACACCCCAAGGGTTGATTCTGGTATAGACATATGGTCATCCCTTGGACATGTTGGACTTCTTGTTCCTGCAGTAAAACCCTTGGTTTGAATTGCCACGTTACATCTAATGCCTAGTGTAGAAAGTGAGCCACATCCTCTGCACCTTAAAGAACCCTTGCTAGAACTCTATGAACGGTCCTATGGTGGCCTGTTGCAAAGTAACATTCTGTCCTTGTCCAACATACCTTCACTATACAATGGCAGTCCAAAGTTTCCGTCCTTCATCCCAGTTTAGTTTTGAAACCTGTAGTAAAACCCTGACCTTAAAGAAGTTCAATATAGAATTAATCATGATCAGTAAAGCGGGCAAGATATATTAGCATGTGTACTCTTGACTAGTTTTATTGTGCAATACATATATAACTGGGGTTAAACTCATTTATTTTTATTGTAATTTATTAATGTACATGTTTTCGTAGAAATTATATTTTTTATTTTAATATGGCGTGCAATTTTGATCTATTATGATTTAATTTTTATTTCATTTTGCCCTCATAGAGGGTTGTTTTTACTTATAAGATAATTTATTATGTTGTTGAAATATTCACATTATTTTGATATGCATACTGATACAGCTATGATACAAATGACAATGGTTTCATGTTTAATGGAAATAAAGATTATGGATAAGACAATTTCCTGTTGATTCAATTTTTTGTACAAAAACAGTTAAATTTTCATAGATACCTATATTGAAAAATAATGTTTATCTTTAATGGAACAAGTCATTTAAAATCTATTTTTTTTTTAACAGTCTTCCATCTTTTGATATTGATGACTTTTTTATTAACTGAACAGTTATATAATTTTGTATCTTAATATTCACACTGAGATAATATATTCATTCCAAGGGTGTATATAAAAACTAAGTTGTTGAAAAGAATGAGATTTCTGGAAAAATGAATCACACTTAGGAATGAAGGAAGTCTCTTTAAAAAAATTAATGTTGATAAAAAAAAAACCTAATATTTTATTGTTAATATTTTTTTTCATACATTTTTACCTATGTGTAGTGAAGATTAACTAATAGCTTAAAATGTGACATTCAATGGCTGCATTTTTCTTAGATGTTTAAAATATTTAAGATCTGATAAAAGTTGAAAAAATAGATTGATGATAAAAAATACTGTGGTATTTGAAGTAAACAAAATACTGAAATGTTTACTAGTACCTTATTTGTTTGAGGAGTCTCTTTTCAACTGCTCTGAAATCAATGATTATCCAAAATCCAAATGCTACCCACAGGAATCACTTTAAATGTTGAATAATTTTGATGAATTTCAAGACAATAGGCCACTTTCGAGTTCGTTGCATTTCCGTCAAAAACTTTGGTTTTAGTGAACATCACTGTGTGTTTAGGGGCATCGTCATTTCCTTCCCATGTTGAGGGAGTGGTTGAAAAATATGATGCTATATTGCACGAATTATTCAGCAAATTAATTTCTTATAATTGATAATCAGCACTGCTGTCATTAGGGAATTGTGATCAAGTACCTATGGAACAAACATTATTTTGAGTTTATCCTGCATAATGATGATCACGAAGATGCTTGATGAACTTTAATAGTGCAGGGATACAGGTGGGCCCCTCTATCTGGTAAATGACGTCATAAAGGCGCGCATAATTGGCAAACCTTTTACGGTGAAGGACATTACTCGAAAGTGGTCTATTAGGTTATAGTATTATTAGAATTATGTTGGTTCTGTTTCGTCTCCAAACACAAAACTTTATGATTATTTTCAGAGTTACAGTGGAAATGATTTTTGTTAAGTGTGTCTTATTTTAAGTCAACTTTTCACTGAATACTTGTATGCAAGCTAGACTTTTTCTTGTGGTCACAATGGGTTTACACTTATCGTAATAATAATATCTGTTTTTGATTATATTTATATGTTTTTTGTTATAACTTCTAATGTCATACACATTATTTTTGCTGTTGATATTTTATTTTTTGGATTAAAATCTATAAATTTTAACATGACTTTTTTTTCAATAGCCACAAGTTTTGCCTGCATTCTCTGCTAGGAATTTGATTTTATAGTACATTTAATGTGGATACAAATTATACAGGACAACGATGAATCATTTCTACATGTTTGTGCATTGTTTTATTTATTTGTGTTGTAAGGTTGCTATTCTGTTAATGCTTACACCACAACCTCCTGTATGATAGATGTGAATTCATTTGTGAATGACACAGATACATATTCTATGAATATACTCTTAGTGAAGGATCTGTCACCTTGTACTACTTAGAGTCTCTACTGCATGGTATAAGATATTTGATCCAAATAACATAAAATATGAAGGAATTGTGAAGGAAATGAAAGTTCCATTATCTGGGCCATAAATCTTAAATATCAAAAACTGTTCAATTTTTCAACAATTTTGAAATTGTGCTAATTTTGTTGTCTCTTTGACACATTCCGGGTGTTTCCATTCTCAATTTTACGTCAAAACCTAATTCAATGTCACATAAGTTGTAGGTTAGAGTGACCTGATTTTGATGGTAGGTTGTTTTATTCTGCTGAAAGCATCATAACAATAAGTTATTTGATTGAAGATAATCTACATGAAGAAAAAAGAAACAAAACATGTGAATTTTGATAAATGTTCATAAGACAGACCAGGTTACCTAATCTTACGGTATATGATTGTAGATTTTCTGACTTTCTAAATCTAATAAATGTAGTGACCACGGAGAACTTGCTGTTTTGATTAACAAATACAGTTTTCAGATGATGAGTATGTTGTCAAAGAGATATATGTTTTCAATTAATTTTTAACAAAATACTTGGAAAGGAAGTATTGTTTTGCAAAAAGAAATCAACGTTTTAAGCACTAGCTGACACTGACACAATGGGACATGGGTTTAATAAAAAAAAAAAAATGGTAATTTTAAATTTCTTGAAAAAAAGGTAATTTGTTTCGGAAGGGAATTGAAAAAAATAGTTTGTGTCTATTTAATTGAAGGATGGTAGATACCAAAGGGATATTCAAACTCATAAGTTAATAACAAACTCACAACCCCATGGCAAAAAAAACAACCAAAAGACAAACAACAGTATACAAAAACTAAAGACTGAACAACATGAACCCAACAAAACCTTAAAGTAATTAAACTTAAAAAGAGCATATTAGAATTATCCATTTGGGTCATACATACTTAACATGGTTCCTTCAAAACCTTCAACAACATGGCAGCCAATAAACTTCCTATTACACAATCTTTGGTGATAATGTGAGAAATTTTTCATTCTTTTCAGCTTTTTTTTTGTAATACATAATAGAGGAGCAGTACTATTTCCGATAAATTTTCTATCTGAGAATCATACAATTTCCTGCAAATTCGTATATCTGATTATCAATGCATTGTATGGTAAGTAAACCAGATAAAAACCAATAACCTTCATGAGCTCATCAGGTAGAACCTGCCTCATATCAAGGATTTTAATAGTCCTTGCTTATTTAAAAAAAAAAAAAAAAAACTTTAAAAAACAACTTTGATTTTAAAAAAATTCTTGTTAATGTTTGTTATTGAAAAAAGATAGTTTGTTCGATTTAAGGTTGATCATCACTAAATGTTTCTGCAGATAAATTTTTTTTATACTTTGCCAAAATGTAGATTTGACCATGTTTTTTTCAAATATATAATAAAAAGTATGTGACACTGTGATATTTTTCAAGCCATTAGTTGTGCAAAATTGCCCAATTTTGCATTGGTAACTCATGAAACACTTTTTTGTGAGTACATAGTAGAAAGAAATTTATCAGATAGAATTTTTAAATGAAATATTAGAAGCTAGGTATTATGATATTCTTTTAGAAAATAAAAAGAAAAAATTGTGTTGCTGAACTTGTTTTCTTGCTACAAGTCAAAAATATTAAAATTTCTTTAACATTCCTTTACAAACTGTTTACTTTAAGAGTTATCTCCCCTTATAAAGCTAAGTTGAAAAGTTGAATCAAACAAAAACATATATGTGGTATTTTTAAAAACAGTCTATATAATATAATGAATCACATATTTTTCTGTATTTGAATAAACAGTCTTGTACATAAATTAACATTCTGTCTCAAATTTGCAGATTTAAAGAAAGAGCGAAACCGATTAAGTATTGCTATTTTATAATCCTAGATGGTGATATACAGTTAGCTACCTTAAGTTACAGTGTCATTGTCCAGAGAAAATGATAAAATTTACACAATGCCCTCTAACTATTTCAAGTGCATAAAAAAACGTAACTTATTTGCCGAACGTTATGGTGATATGTTGAATTTAATTTTATTTGGTAATAAGCTTAATTGTAATTTACTCCCTTATGTCAATGCAAATATTTTATTGTAAATTACTGAAGCGGCCTTTCGGAGATTGAGAAGGTTAAACTTCCGAAAGATTATTGTCTAATATAAGATCAGGTAGACTTTATTTAATACAAATAACAAACTTTATAAGTGATATTTAAAGAAATCAATTTGTTGCAGTGCACCGGATTTTTATGTAAACCCGTGCATTTGTTGAATTGTCGCATGCTTCAAGGACATTTTTTTTTCAATGTGATACGCTTTTCAAAAAGATAACACTTATGATGTTCATATTCCATATTTGATTTATATTCTTGCTCATATCTGCTTATAACTACAATAACAGTAGTTTATATCTGCTGTCCATCTACTCTTATTTACCAAAAGATAGAAAATTTAAATATGCCTACCTCTGGCACATTTTATGCACAATATTTCCATTAAATATATATTAACTTCCTCATGAAAATATGAGGGTTTCTTATCGTCGAGTTGCAAGTTGCGAGTTGAAAAGGCTGAGTTGCGAGTTACAAAAGTCGAGTTGCGAGTTAAGGTTCATCATAACAAATGGACAAAAATGGCTGTATTTCCACCTCAAAAACTACTCTGAGTACAGACTTACCTGTCCAGTTGGAAAAGTTTTAATGCCTGGCATCCACTAGATATATAAAAGTTAAATGCATTTTGTGTTTCAGAAAGAGAAAATCTTTTTTGGATTTTGATGGCCATTTTTTTTCCTTTCTGCAGAAGGTGTAAAAGTAAACTAAGTTGGGATAAAACTTTGAGATGCTCCCTCTCAGGTAAAAACTGTATTGTATTGTATTGATTGTCCTTGATTGACACGGACAATAGACAGACAATAGGTATCTACACAACTATAGGTGAGTTAAAGGGTTTAACTGAGTGGACAGTATCAAAGCAATTCAGGTGTTTGTTTATTTTTACACCTTCTGCAGAAAGGAAAAAAAAAATGCCCATCAAAATCCAAAAGTGATTCTATCTTTCTGAAACAAAAAATGCATTTAACATTTATATATCTAGTGGATGCCAGACCTTAAAATTTTCCAAACTTGACAGGTAAGTCTGTACACAGAGTAGTTTTTGAGGTGTAAATTCAGCCATTTTTGTCCATTTGTTATGATGAACCTTAAGAAAGTCGAGTTGCGAGTTACGAAAGTCGATTTGCTAGTTACGAAAGTCAAGTTGCGATTTACGAAGGTCGAGTTGCAAGTTACGAAAGACGAGTTGCGAGTTACGAAGGTCAAGTTGCGAGTTACGAAAGTTGAGTTGCGAGTTATGAAGGTCGAGTTGCAAGTTACAAAAATATTATTTTTCTCTAATTTCTTAAAAATTATTATAGGATTAAACGCCTTTTTAAAGGAATTTATTGGTGTATAAACTCGACCAATTCACTCACAAACAAAAAAATCCGAAGGACTTTTATGATATGTTTGTGAGTGACTTGGTACAGTTTATGCACCAACAAATTCCTTTAAAAAGGCGTTTAATCCTTATAATTCTTTAAAATTGGAGATAAGGAATTTATTTTTCCACACTCGTAACCTCTATCACATGTAAATTGTATATTTGTGTCATTGAATAGGCTTGGCGCATGAATATATTTGTTGGTTAACGCAAAAATATGTACATGTACTCTATGAAATTTGCAATCTGATAAAAAATAAACTACAAAAACTATTATTATCATTCAAACCAATGTTTTGTGTTTAATATTTAATTTAACTATTAAGACCTATTAAATCAAATTGAAAATAAATTTTGTTAACGTCGATCCGGATTGTGTCATTATCGTCACCATCTTGTTTACATTGGTTACGAAAAGAAGTTCAGTCAACGTCGTCTATCGAAAAATAAACAATGTCAAGAACAACTACCGGAAGTCCTCTCAACCAATCATATCAACGTACTCTCTAATATGCAAATCATATAAGAATTATATATATATAAACGGTCGTATATATAAACGGTCGTGTCGTCTGATTTTTGAAACAGAATTTTCAGGTTTACTTCGCATTTAATAAACAAAGCATACATGTACCCGAAAAAGTTATACACTGCATGAGGAAGGGTCCCGGTATTTTGATTGCAGGATTTGAAAGAGTTATGTGATACTTATTTATAAGAGTCTATATGTTGCAAAGTCACGCACGCTTAAATTTCTTTCATGAAAGCGACATTGTTCATTTTCTAAAATAAAACAGGATATGAGTTTCGTGTCAAAAAAAAGTTAAAAGAGTTATATTTGTCAGCATGTTATTCCTAAATTAACTTGATTGATTTGGGTATGATTAACCCGTTTTTTAGAAATAAGTTACATATTCCAAAACTGCATCTTTTGTCTCTTTTACAAAAGTATCTTTGACAGCTACATGTATAGAATAAAGAATGGAAACGGGGAATGTGTCAAAGAGACAACAACCCAACCAAAATATACAAGTCAACCCAAGGCCTTGGGTCTTCAACACAGTGAGAAATCCCACACCCAGAGGCAGCCCCGAGCAGGCCCCGAAACACAATGTACACTAGATCAAGAAAATGGACGCCATTCTATGCTCCGAAACATATAGATGAACCAAAATTTAAAAATATACAAGACCAACAAACGCAAGAGGTTCCTGACTTAGGACAGACACAAAAATGCGGCGGGGTTAAACAGGTTTTATGAGCACTCAACCTTCCCCCTTTACCTCTAGCCAATGTAGACATATATAACTTAAACGTCCACAATTTTGAGTGTCACTGCCAAAGAATAAATTTTGGGGTCCCTAACAAATATTGCCTCTGCAGCTGCCCCAAAGAGCCCACTCTTAACGAAATCTGCAGAAGGGGTCTTTTACATATATGTACTATAGTTTAGTTGCTATCTCCCTTTACGTTTAATATGACGGTGCTAGCTATGAAATTTAATAATAATAAAACTACAAGCCATCCGCTGTATTTCAAAAGGCTCTCTGTTTCTTCAGAAAATAACCATACTTTGCGTAGTGATTATGTAAGCTATCCATTCATTTTTTTTTACATGAGACTCAGATGAAGTCCAAACAACAAAAAGAATCAACAATACTGTATACATTTCTATAAGCAATCATCATTCAAAAATGTTAAAGAGGTACACAACAAAAAATTAAAATAGTTTTCCCCATTTTCACGCAAATCTAATTTTGTAACTCGCAACTTGACTTTTGTAACTCGCAACTCGACTTTTGTAACTCGCAACTCGACTTTCGTAACTTGCAACCTGACTTTCGTAACTTGCAACTCGACTTTCGTGACTCGCAACTCGATACTTGACAACAAGTTAATCTCTGAAAATAGACATCCTTTTTAGCTCACCTGGCCCGAAGGGCCAAGTGAGCTTTTCTCATCACTTTGCGTCCGTCGTCCGTCGTCGTCGTCCGGCGTCGTCTGTTAACTTTTACAAAAATCTTCTCCTTTGAAACTACTGGGTCAAATTTAACCAAACTTGGTCACAATCATCATTGGGGTATCTAGTTTAAAAAATGTGTCCGGTGATCCGGTCAACCAACCAAGATGGCCGCCATGGCTAAAAATAGAACATAGGGGTAAAATGTAGATTTTGGCTTATATCTCTGAAACCAAAGCATTTAGAGGGGGTAAAATTGTTTATCAGGTCAAGATCTATCTGCCCTGTAATTTTCACGTGTATCAGACAACCCATTGTTGGGTTGCTGCCCCTGAATTGGTAATTTTAAGGAAATTTTGCCGTTTTTGGTTATTATCTTGAATATTACTATAGATAGAGATAAACTGTAAACAGCAATAATGTTCAGCAGAGTAAGATCTACAATTAAGTCAACTTGACCAAAATGGTCAGTTGACCCCTTAAGGAGTTAAGGCCCTTTATAGTAAATTTTTAACCATTTTTCGTAAATTTTTGTAATCTTTTACAAAAATCTTCTCCTCTGAAACTACTAAGACAAATTTAACCAAACTTGTCCACAATCATCATTAGGGTATATAGTTTAAAAAATGTGTCTGATGACCCCACCCGCGAACCAAGATGGCCGACATGGCTAAAAATAGAACAATGGGGTAAAATGTAGATTTTGGCTTATATCTCTGAAACCAAAGCATTTAGAGTAAATCTGACATAGGGTAAAACTGATTATCAGGTCAAGATCTATCTGCCCTGAAATTTTCAGACCAATCAGACAACAAGTTGTTGGGTTGCTGCCCCTGAATTGGTAATTTTAAGAAAATTTTGCAGCTTTTGGTTATTATCTTGAATATTATTATAGATAGAGATAAACTATAAACAGCAATAATGTACAGCAAAGTAAGATCTACAAATAAATCAACATGACCAAAATTGTCAATTGACCCCTTAAGGAGTTATTGCCCTTTATAGTCAATTTTTTACAATTTTTTCATAAATTTTGTAAATTTTTGTAAATTTTTACAAAATATTTTCCACTGTAACTACTGGGCCAAGTTCATTATAGATAGAGATAATTGTAAGCAGCAAGAATGTTCAGTAAAGTAAGATCTACATACACATCACCATCACCAAAACACAATTTTGTCATGAATCCATCTTTGTCCTTTGTTTAATATGCACATATACCAAGGTGAGCGACACAGGCTCTTTAGAGCCTCTAGTTTAAATAGTTTTAAATAGACACAGTTTGAGGAAGTGTTATTTCCCTTTTGTCGCCATGTTGGAGAATCTGCATTCTCAAATTCCTTCATAAATCAAGTTCCGTCTTTTTTGGTGTGTATAAAAAGCAGTCATGCATAGTACGCACCACTTTTTGGTCCTTGAAAAAACTTGAGAAAAAAGTTACTTCTTATGCTTAACTCGCAGGGACTATCTGGAAAAATCCCAACTTGAAACTCAGTAAAACGCGTCCATTGAAAGGTTATTTTTTTTCGGAAACAAATTGAACTCTAGTCCTCGTTGATTACAGGATAATGAAGATATTGTTGCAGAATAAACAATTTAGCTAACGGTGTCTGATTTTTTATTGTTTCCACGGATGTGTTTGATAAGAGCAACAGGAAGTGTTAAATCAGGAACTTGTTTAAATGCAAATCACAGTCGGTGAATCTTGTACGGAATATAGAACCATTAGAACATTTGTAATATTTATGTTGATAAATTGGTGCTGAAATAAATATTTACACAGCTAGATTTGTATCATAAATTAGAACCATATGATATATATAATAAAATCATGTATACCTTGTTATTATAGAGATGGCCCAGATAGAGGATATGAAACCGCCACTGGCTCCTGTAGCATATTTTGATGGTAGATTCCCTAATATAAACCAGGAAAGGTATTTATCTTAAGAAAGAGAAAGGGTTAGGAGGGCATGACTAAATAATGTAGTACCTGACTAGATAGAGCTCTCATTTAATATAAAGGTAGCTCTCTATGGGTTGGGACATCAAAGTAAAAGAAGGCCAACAATTAAACATTAGCGAACTTGTCCAGAATTCACATACATTGTTGAAATTTTGAAAGTAATTAAAAAAAAAGCCTGATTTATTGTCAACTGTTCCCAGTTTAATTTTTCTCAGCAGGTTACTGAAAGAATTTTAACATTAGCAGCAAACATGTTTTATTTAAAACAATATCTCAACATTTGAGGTGACATTTTCAATCTATAATTTAAAAATAAGAAGATGTGCTATGATTGCCAATGAGACAACTTTCCATCAGAGACCAAATGACGCAGAAGTTAGCAACTTTATCAATCTGTATCACAGACTGATATCTATAACTGTACTAGACAGAGTGATATCTTTAACACCGCATGAAAGACAATGACAGACTGATATTTACACAATGTATAAATAATACTGTATTACGAACTGAAATTTCTTATACAAGTTTATCATAAATAAAAGATATCTTATTGGAGTCACACAGTGTATAAAATTCAAAAATGACTTGAGTGAACAATAAACAAATTTGAATCTTTATTATTTGATTTGAGAAAAAGGACCATATTTTTCTTGGAAAATACAACATTCAAATCAATTCACTTGCACTTCAGGTGATTGAGTGTTTACAAGCACATGCTCAAAATATGTAATTTGTCTGGATACACATTAACCTAACATAAAAAGTAATGTCCACAATAAGAATAAGTATAAAATACAAAACAAAAATATTTTTGATGAAGAGGATCAAGTTCATTTTCCATTAATTGTCAAAATTAAATCAATCATAGATTTGCCTAGTCTATAATTTATAATGTGTGTATGAGATAATAACACTTTTTGATTTCAATAATTTTCAGAACATGTTACCAGGCCTTTAAAGACTTTATTATCTGTGAGAGGATGAAAGGTGAAGGTTATCCTGGCTGCAGATACTTCAGGGATGTCTACAACTCTGTTTGTCCAAATCATATAGTAAGTGTATTAAGTATAGTGCCTGTCATGATGTAAACTTTTATTTAAGTGTTGTAGTCTTATGGTTATGGTCAACACATCATCTAATGAGTTCAGGTTCAGGTGATAAATATTATTGAAAGTTACCTGAGGTATTAAACATTTCAATGCCTTACAAGTGTTTAATTATTTCAGATAAAATTCAAATTTGAAAGACCTGTTGCTGGAAAAATTGATTTTCACTTTAACTCCAAATAATTCTGTTTTTTCAATCATATAAGTTTATCTACAAAGTACCAGGTTATATATAAAGGTGTGTTGGTATTCTACTACAAAATGGATTTATAGGCCTATTTTTGTACATTTATCAGTCATTCTGTCTCACAAAAAAATTACTGTTGCATGATGAGCGATTGACATTTTGTGTCATTTAAGTTGACCCATGATTGACAGAATTTATGTTATTGGTTCAAATCTGACTTGATGTGGGTGATCACATTGTTACATTTGTGCAAATATCAAATTGACTTATTTTTATATAATTGGTTGTGCTATTACAGGTTAAGTTGTGAAAATGATATAACCATCTTCACTATTTTTTTCAGATTGAGAAAAGGAAGGATGAAATAGATAAATTAGCATTCCCAGAATAACTGGTACCAATAGACCACACTGTGTGAATGGAGTGATCATAGACAATATCCATGTTGATATATAAGAATGTATTGATAAATAAAAATTTGTCATGTTTATCATCTAATGTTTTGCATTGGATTTTGTTGTGGTTTTGTCTCGCCTGCGACTTTTGACACAATGCGAGACATAGGGATAACAATCCAATGGCAGTGGCATAAAATATTTGTATACAGCTTTATATTTCAGAGGTTACAATGTAGAAGACCTTGTATACAGCTGCCTTATACAAAGTTTCCCCCTGTCAGTCATATGTCCATTATCCTTTACCTCATTTTCAAGGTTCAGCAACTGCTTAAAAAATGTATTTTTTTTTGTCATGTGAAATTCTCACTTATTATGAGTAAAAGGATAAATATATTTGGTACATGGGTTCCTTGCAAGGTCTACATGTCCATCAGACAGGGTTCACCTGACCTCTACCTCATTTCATGGACCAGTAATCAAGGTTAAAGTTACATGATTAGGTCCATTTCTCAAATACTATAAGCAGTAGCTTGACCTCATTTTCATGGTTTATTGGTCAATGTTTAATTTTTATGTTTTGAATATAAAAAAGAAGATGTGGTATGATTGCCAATGAGACAACTCTCCACAAGAGACCAAATGACACAGAAATTAACAACTATAGGTCACCGTACGGCCTTCAACAATGAACAAAGCCCATACCGCACAGTCAGCTATAAAAGGCCCCGAAATGACAATGTAAAACAATTCAAACAAGAAAACTAACGGCCTAATTTATGTACAAAAAATGAACGAAAAACAAATATGTAACACATAAACAAACGACAACCACTGAATTACAGGCTCCCGACTTGGGACAGGCATATACATACAGAATGTGGCGGGGTTAAACATGTTAGCGAAATCCCAACCCTCCCCCTAACCTGGGACAGTGGTGTAACAGTACAACATAAGAACGAACTATAAAAATCAGTTGAAAAAGGCTTAACTCATCAGATGGATAAAAACACTAATACTACAAATACAAGTGGACGTGGCCGGGTACTTGTACATCCAAACAACAAAAAGACACTTAAGTACAGATCTGAGAGTACTCGCAGTTACTGACAGCTAGTTCTAAGCCACTAACAACTAATAAAAAAAATCATGCATCTAAGACTAAATTATCAATCTGTACACATCCAACATCCAATGGATTTAGTGTAAAGACGCCATAAACAGAGAAAAACATGACCTTGTGCAATGCCAAGATAAAGGTATCGACAGATTGTAGATATGTATATAACAATAATATTTAGTTTGCTTTTAACTTACTGATAACAAAATCAATATCAGTACCAATAAAAACAATATTTAATGATCTAATTACAGTGTTGAATTGGTAACCTTTTAGAATAAGTTTATTTAAAGGATTGATAAGTTTACCAGGATCGTTTCTAAATTTCCGGGCACGATAAACAATATTGCCGTAAAAATGAGGATGTGCAATCCCGTTTGAACAATAGGGAATGAAAAATCGTCCCTTTTGGTCTGTTTTTCAAATATTATAAGTCATAGGTCAACTATATTTGGTGTATGGACTGATTTTAAGGTGTACATGTCTGTCTTGAAGGTATCATGACCTCAACCTCATTTTAATGGTTCATTGGTCAATGTTTAATTCTTAAGTTTCGGTAGAATGGTCTTCTTAGATGCTATTAACAATAGGTCAACTATGTTTGGTGTATTGAATGATTGTAAGGTGTATATGTCTGTCTGGCAGGGTTCATCTGACCTTGACCTTATTTTTGTGGTTCATTGGTCAATGTTTAGTGTCCTGGTTCAATCTGTTTTATAGATACTTTAAGCAATAGGTTAACTGTATTTGGTGCATGAAATGATTGTCAGGTGTACATGTCTGTCTGTTATGTATCATCTGACTTCGACCTCATTTTCATGGTTTATTAGTCAATGAAGTTTTTCTGATTTTAAGTCTATTTCTTAGATACTTTAAGCAATAGGTCAACTATGTGGTGAACTATGCTGAGTAAGGTGTTCATGTCTGTCTGGCATGTGTCATCTAACTTTGACCTGGTTTTCATGGTTCATTGGTCAATATTTAGTGTTCAAGGTTTGGTCTGTTGGTAAACTATATTTGGTGTATGGAATGATACGTGTATTTGTCTGTCTGTCTATTTGACCTTGACCTCATTTATAATGTTGTTTATTTGGTATTTGTAGTAAAATCTTTACCTTTAAGACTTTTTATCTGGCAGGGTCCACATTCTGTACAAAACAGGAGCCTGTAATTCAGTGGTTGCCATTTGTAGCTGTATTCATATTTGTTTTTCATGTATTGTTTTGTACATAAATCAGTTTTGTACAGTGACCTATAGTTGCTAACTTCTATGCCATTTGGTCTCTGGTAGAAAGTTGTCTCATTGGCAATCATACCACATCATATTTTTATATTTCAACATAAAATCAATAATAGTCAGTAAAGCAGACAAGACATTTCAACGTGTGCACTCTAATTTTATGATGGTTTCTGTTGAACACAAGACAGCTATTTTAATAGGTTGAATATTAATATAGTAGTCACAATCAAGACTTTGAAGATGGTGGGATTGCTCACCTAACAGGAAGGGTCAAGTGTGCTATTCTCAATATATTCAGATAAAAAAGGAAGTTTACTTCTATAAAATAACTCTAGTACCAGCACATCAGTCATTGATAAAAAAGCTAACATAGTTAAACTATTATTTTATTTTTATATAAATTATAAATAACAATGTACAATAACAATATCACAAATGATATGTACGATTTTCAATAACAAGGATAAAATGGACGGAAGAATGGATAGACAACATGAAAAAACTTCAGCTTAGCTGAAAATATAATCCTTCCTGGTACAGGTAAATAAAAATATGTATTTTATGTATTGTAGCATATTTTTACAAAAAGTGTAAAAATCTTCTTCTCACATAGTTGTGTACAATAACTATATCATTAAAACTAAAATGATCCTCTACAAGCAAATGTATGGCCTTAGAACTTTGTGGTTTGTTCTTTATTGCAAGGAAATACTTAAATAAACTGACATTTAAACAAATTGTTATAGAGAACTAAACTTGTCATTATGTTGCACATCTTATTACTGTAAAACTAGTTTCATCAATTTTCCACCTAATACACCTGATTTTCATATTATTGCAACCTTCATGTATTGAAAAAAGATCTGTTTTGAAGATCATGACTCCATATGTTTATCAATTATACTAGGAAAATCAACTGAAAATAATGTATATTGTTCAGGAGTTAAAATTTTTGTCTTCTCAATCCTCAAATTCCACATAAACTGACGTCCTATTAATAAATATGAGCCAATATTAATGCTTACACAAATAATAAAGATACATGTATGAGGTAAATGTCAATGTGACAGCAAACCAACGACACAAAAACCATAAGACATGAATGTTGTATGTTCTTTTCTGGCAGAAAATAATAATACGTTTATGAAGTGCTTGTATAAACCTTATTTATTTTGTCACAATCAGAGAAGATGTATTAATGTATACTTGAATAAATGGTGATGCAATTTCCTTCTTACATTCAAGTCTGATTTTATATCATGAAATATGTTAACAACCAGGAAAAAATATAAATGACAGTTTCAATTTTGTCTTTCTTCTACTTGTAATAACGAAAGACATTTCATTACATTAAATAGTTGACAGGGTCATATAATAATTCAAAAGTAGACCCTGACTCGTAAAACAATTTATGCCAAATTTCGATCAGTTATTAATTGTTTGACAGATTTAACCAATAGTTATGATCAGAAAAATCTGAAATACTGGCAAGAACAAAGGGTCTTCAAAGATACATGAGTCTTTTTATTATTAAATAGATAGCCTCCGTTGAGAAATTTTGCAAATTAGGAACAGTTTAAAATGATGAAAAAATTCTGCATTTTGATCATATTTAGTGTAGAACAATTAAATTGCCATCCATTTTTTTTAAGAATCAGATCTGGTATAGTATTCAAGCTACAAAGTTTGATTGTAAGTCAAATTAGAGATGATTTATTGAGAAAAAAAAAGAAGATTTCAGTAACATATTCTCATATTAATATTTCTAGTTAAAGTTAATGTCTACTATATTTTAAAACCCAAACCTCCATGAAAAATTTTGTCTGTATATAAAATATAAATTTTCAGTCTGATATTCATTAATTTCACAAAGTTAACAGAGTAATTTAAATTAATTTTCATTAGTATAGCTTTCATTAAGGAAAATATAAACAAGTAAAAAAGCACTGAAAAACAAGTAAAAACCTAAAAGTACACAGAAAATGATATTTGATAGAACAGGAAACCACCTTTAAAATCATGTAAACACAACAAACTTCATAAACTGCACTGCAAATTATTTGAAAAATACTCTTTTAAGTATAACATTTACATTGAAATCAAGCTATAAACTGAGATACATCAATTATGTTAAATTTATTCTACTTTTCCATTATTAATATTTTTTCTAGTTAAATAATTAACAGTTACCGGTAATATAAAACTAACTACTTTTTTGTCTCACCTCAATTGTTCTATTGTAAAGTATATACTACAATGAATGTACCATTGAAAGATTTAAAAGAGATTCCTTCTATTCTGCCAGAGTACAGATAAAATACTGCTATAGAATTGGAATGTAATACAAGATAACAAAAATATTTTTCTTAAGAAATTCAATCCTTTAATTCTGCACAGATTGATACTTTTCCTGAAACAAGTTTCCTTTCCATAAACAAGTTAAGCTTGAGCAGTTGACTTTATTAATAGAAATTCAGGGCTGCTCCATTAAAGCATACATTGGGCCCAAGGAAGGCACTTCAAAATCTCAGCTACAAGTGGGTGTCAAATGTTTTTGTTGTATTGTGAAAATGTTAGTGAAATTCTAAAATTTCCTTTTTCTGTGGTTACCCCATTTTCAAAGTGCCTTCCCTGGGTACCATGAATGTTCTAATGGGACAGCCCTCAGTAAAAATGTTAAATTTCTTTACTTTTCTCTGATTTTTACTAATGAAAATTGCATAAAAAAAGATGACCATGTCTGACAATTTCATGCAAAAAGAACACATACTTTGTTGATGTCTACACTACATTGTGTGAAAATTATTGAAGAATTCTAAATATTGCATTAAGACAAGTATGACTTTTCTCAACTATAGACAGTTAAAAATTAAATATATGAAAATTAACTATCGAGAGTGAAGAAAGAGCATATCATTCTTGATGCAAATGTCAAATCTATAATTATAATAGTAACAGGAATGTTAGCAATCATTAATCAAATTAGTAATTTGAGTCATTAGCACTAATATAAACATTGAATATTGCAGTTCACAGCTTTAATTGGCACCAACTATTTTTCCATTAATTGTTGATGTTTTTTTACCTTTGAAATATTCGTCATAGTTACAACATCCAAATGTTTTTTTTAATATAAGTTTTCATGATTTTTAAATCTCTGAAAATTCAACATCATAAATAAATCACTTAGAAGATAATTTTCACAACCTTAAGTAATAAATAATGTCACTAATTTACAAAGCTATCACAATTAATTCGCATCAGATACACATAGCACCATAAAATTGGCATCAATGCTTTATTGGGCATGGCTATCTTCTTTTCTTTGTAGCTACAAGACTGGTCTTGGGACGTAATTCTGAAAAAGAGAATTGTAATACTGTTTAGAAATACAGGCATGTTGAATGACCATTTTTTCTTACAATGGATTGCAAATAATTCTTACTTCAAATTTCACAAGTATATCAAAAACAGAATCTGAATGCTATGAGTAGTGTGAGCAAACTTTGCAAAGTAAAACCCCCTGCTTTTCTTATCTCTGTTGTTAATCAATGCTTTCAAGTCAAAGAAAATTATTACAGAGGATAGTTTTTTTTCAATGTTCTCATTGCATTCAGGATGTACACATCTGAGGAGCCAAACATTTCTAGAATTAAACTTTTTTTCTTAACCTGATTTTTGGGTTTATATGACTGTAAGAAAGTAATTGATGAAGAAAAAATCATATGGTGGTGCACTTCTTTTTTTGCTACGGCCATTTGAAAGTACCCTATTTTTAATGATTTTCCCCTTTTTCATCAATTTTTACCCATTTTTGGGCTATTATCACGAAAAAAAACAAAAAGCATATTATTTCAACTACCTTGTTATAAATGATTGGAAAAATACATATCTAAGAATTTTGAAAAGAAAAAATTGATATGGAATGTACATTTTTTTGGTAAAATCATTTCTTTGTACCCCTCACCAATTTTCTCAACATTTTGACTGATGACACTGACCGGATTGGTTATAAAATTTTATTACTCAAAAACTACTTATTGTAAGTACACAATTTTTTCACAGAGTTTAGTTTGATTATAATATTTTTTAAATTCATTGATATTTTCCACTTGTATCGCATGTTTTGGAAATAATTCCTGAACGAGACTGAAACATCAGAAGAATACATTCTTAATATCAACATTTACATATCACATCCTTTTGATATATTATACATCATCAGTGTTACCATGCAAACTATTTTCTGACAAATTTCTGGTCTACTTCCTGTTTTAGTATGTATGTATGGTGCTCTACACAAACTTACGTTGATTAACAGGTTTTCCAGACTCTGCTTTTTTAGGATCATTATAATGGCTGACAACTTGCTTATCATTGGTCAACTGAATGTCCTGGTCACCTGTCTGATTGCTAAAATAAGAATTGGATTATATAAAATAATTTATATCATTTTTGAAAAAATTTGTAAGGGTTCCGCAGAACCCAGTGTCTCGCCTACTTTTGCTGTTAATCGCAGGCTCAACAAAAATTAGGAAACAAATTTAATAAAAATATTCCTCTCTATACTATCTTTTGATTGTAAGTAGCTTCTGTCCAAGTTTGGTAAAAATCCAGGATAGTTTATGAATCTAATCAATGTTTTAAAAACTTAAAACTGCAGACTGTATGTAATGTTGACTGGAAGAAAAACTAAGTCCATTTATAAGTAAAATACGGAAAAAATGGAATAAAATTTTAATAAAATTTCCTTCTAGATACTAGCTTTTGATCATAAACAAGCTCCTGTCCTAGTTTGGTAGAAATCCCGGATATTTTAAGAAAGTTTTTAAAATTTTAAAAACTTTAACCACAGAGTGAATGTAATGTTAACTCGCCGAAAAACTAAGTCCATTTATAAGTAAAATACGGAAAAAATGAAATTTTTTTTTACAAAATTTACTTCTGGATACTATCTTATGATCATAAACAAGCTTCTTTTCAAGTTTGGTAGAAATCCAGAATAGTTCAAGAAAGTTATTAAAATTTCAAAAACTTTAACCACAGAGTGAATGTAATGTTTCCTGGCAGAAAAACTAAGTCCATTTATAAGTAAAATATGGAAAAAATGGAATTTTTTTTTTACAAAATTTACTTCTGGATACTATCTTATGATAATAAACAAGCTTCTTTTCAAGTTTGGTAGAAATCCAGGATAGTTTAAGAAAGTAATTAAAATTTCAAAAACTTTAACCACAGAGTGAATGTAATGTTTCCTGGCAGAAAAACTAAGTCCATTTATAAGTAAAATACGGAAAAAATGGATTTTTTTTTTTACAAAATTTACTTCCGGATACTATCTTATGATGATAAACAAGCTTCTGTCCAAGTTTGGTAGAAATCCAGGATAGTTCAAGAAAGTTATTAAAATTTCAAAAACTCTAACCACAGAGTGAATATTTGTGGACGCCGCCGATGCCGACGGAATGTAGGATCGCTATGTCCCGCTTTTTCGACAAAAGTCGAAGGCTCGACAAAAAATAATGAACATTAACACCTCAATGAAGGCTGAAGGCTTAGTGGTAGGAAATGATAAGAAAAGGTAGAACAAATACCTATTTTTCAATATTTTATTAGCCTTGTTTTGGTGCTCTAAAATATTACACTGAAATGCAGTCAAGTTTAGCGATTGATAATTCATTGATAACATTCTGGCGTATCACAAACAAACAACTTGTAACGTCTCATTTCATTGGCCGAAAGATTTAAATACAACAACAATTGTAGTGTGCACGTGAATTGACACAGGTGACCGACAATGGAATGTACTACGTTACTACGAACGTAAAAAACAATGATTTTTGGTCGAAATAATTAAATCAGTATTTTGTGAATTTCAAATAGTGGGGTCGAAATATTATACTAATAATTTGTGTTAAGTAATATTCTTTATGAATGCAGCACTTGTACCGCACTATAAAAAATATAAGGATAAAATAAAATACATGTGCCGCTTTTATACGGATGAATGTATGAACCACTTTAATTTCTTTCATATTGACGCTAGGTTATTATCCTGACAATGTCGTAGTTACTTATAATAAGGATCTCATAATACTGATCCATTTCAAATTTATGATGGGTTGCACATTCCTCTTTTATTGTTTTCATGCTATAAAACGAAAATAAAGTAGCTAAGCGTTTGGTCATTCAGAAATGATGTGTCATAAACGAGCAAATTGTCCCCGAAAGATCGTATCATGTGTGCACGTGAATATAGATGTACTATGCAATGTACTATCATGGTCACCACGAAATTCAAATGAATTCAGTGAAGGCATGTTGGTGTAAAAAGGTTTGAAATGTTTCATCGGCGAAGATTTTATTTTTGCATGTGTGGAACTAAAAAATAGATAAATACTTGTGAGAAATGTCGTAGTTTATAAGGAACTACATAAATGTACTGTTTTCGATTTTAATTGGTTGAAAATTTATCCTTTAATTTCATACCGTAAGAATAGAGCTTTGCATAACATTGTTGAACTATCCGCCAAAGTAACGTGTGGCATGCGTGCGTATTAAAATGAAATACAAAATCATACATGTATGATAAACTTATAAACGAAATATTAAGAAATTAAGGATGACTACTGTAAAAGTATGTACAAAAATGGAGTCACCTTTTATCAATACATTTAGTGAATAACCACACTGTTTAAAACTGATTGTTTTCTATGCAACTGTTTAAATGTTTACAATATATAATTTTCAACCGAGGATAGCAAAACAGTTAATTATAAATTAAGAAAGTATATCGCTGGAGTTTATAAAGTACATTTCCTTCCACTGTGCCATGGTTTGCCATCTCCATTTTTTCTCTAAACAAAGCATGGCTGGTTACATGTACTGAATTTACTTAGAATTTCAGGATTTTTTTTTCAAAATCAAGTAAACTAAATCAGAAAAAAAATCACACTATCCTAAAACTTATGAAAGAATATGAATAATGAACATGACAGTTTATAACACAAACCCATTTACTATAAAAATCGAGCAATATCTTTAGTATGTAGTTTGGTTATTTTTGTAGTTAAGTACGGTTTCATTTCAAGTACAACGTTAATTCATCAAGTCCATTGAATAAAAGATAAAGCAGGGTAAGCAACTTGACAAAAAAAAGGCAGGATGACGATTTATGTAAAAAAATCAGGATAAACTAATAAATATAGTCAGGACCTAACAGACTGAAAAATAGAAAGACAGGACAGAAATAACAACTAAAAAAATGCAGGACAAAATGTTTCATCCAAGTCCCCCACCCCCAATCAAAATAAAATGGTAGCTCCCTTAATCCAGAACCAATTGAGAGGAGACAGTTGAATTAAATATTTCGACGTGACTGTTAAGATTAAAGTTTAAAATTTTACATGCACATGTATAAAAGCTAGAATTGCCTTGGGATAATCAAGAACAGAATCATGTACGTGGATACGACGATGGAAGTTTTTAACGACCTTGACCGGCTACGTGAATACTGATCAGTCCATTCAGCTTTATAGTACGCGTGTTCTATTTTCGCAGGTGTGAGGTCGAAGGTTTGAATTGACCAATGAAAACGATCGTTCCTTAACGAGTTAATCTAATAAAGTTTTGTTTGACTGATTATGTTGCACGACCTTTCGCTAAGCTTGGCCGCAGTTCAGTATAACTTGGCTGAATTTCATTGGTTAAAAAGGCTTCTGTTAAATATTAAGCACATTCACATTTTACAAATATAAAACTTGTAAGAATTCAATACATACTATTGTTATCTTCTAAAACTCTGAGATTAATGACATTTTTAAAATATGTATTAAATGCTGCAAAATTCTTTGAATAAAAAATTCATACTATATCTTAATACTATATTGTGAAAAGGGGTATTTAGAACTGATAGGAAGAAAGCAAAACTATAAAATATAGACTTACTTAGGAAATTCAGGTAAATGAAAAATTAACAAGTTGAACTGTGAGCATTGGCACAATAAGGATACCACTGTTTTGAATTTTTCGGTAAACAGAAGTTGATAAGGTAGATTACAAATGCATCATATAGTAAAACATGCTCATATGAAGCTTGATATCAAATTTTAGAAAGTCTTGATTTGTAGTTCCTTAGTAAAATGTGACAACAATTTCATACATGGCCAATTAATTTCGCGATTTCCGAGTTTAATTTGATGTAATTAAATAAGAAAAGATCCAAGTTTTATATTTTCGCAACGATTTATATTCACGTTCATTTTCTACTCGCGAAAAATAAATTGCTCGCAAAAATTAGTTGGTTTACAGTAAGTATTTGTTTGCAGAAAGTTGATGAGAGATAAATCTTTAAATGCAACACACAGTTACTGTGACAGTATACCATGCACACATGAAGCTCTGATTTATAGTTCCTGAGATAAGTGAGACCAACATTTTATGTGATGGACAGGCAGATGGACATAAACACAGTATACCCCCTCCCTTTGCAACAAGGGTATAAAAATAAATCTCAAGTAAATAATTATTCATAATTATTAAATTTTACCTTATTACAGTGTGTTTCTCTTTCCTGAGTATTTCTTTATTATCAGTAAAAAGTATGGTGTGGTATTTCTGTGGAGCACTGACACCTGGAATTATTCCCCTTGCTCCTTGAGTGACAGCTTGTAAATTACCATTATATACTAATAAATCATCTACCAAAAGCTGTAAAGAGAATAACATATAACATGAACTCTTGTTTTCTGTTATTATACAAAAGTTAAACTCAAACTCAAGGGCATCTGACTAAAGGTTAAATATGTCATTAGGTTAATTCTATTGGTTCTTAGAAAGCAAATCAATTTTCAAAGAAATTCTGTAATTTATTTTGTTTAAATTAAGTATAGATGTATAATACAACCAAATTTTAATACTCCTTTTACATTTACACTTACGGCAAAATCTTTGGCACCTCTACTGGGTGTTTTGCTGTAGTTCCATAATTTAATCATCGATACTGTTGTTGGTTGGTCAAATATTACATATACTCTGTTTACCTGAAAAAAAAAATATAACTATTGGGTCTTTGAATCATAGGTGGATTGCTCTAACATACATTTGAGTAAAAGTTCATCCATGTATTTTCTAATTTAATGAGGACCATCTGTTTATTAAGAACTCAGAACAATTGGTACTTAACATAGCAAATACAACTTTAAAGTTTAAATGAAACCAGTTTTTTGGCTAGAGGTAAAGTAACAAACATAGTTTTTTATATAGATTAGACCGTTGGTTTTCCTGTTTGAATGGTTTTACACTAGTAATTTTTGGGGCCCTTTATAGCTTACTGTTCAGTGTGAGCCAAGGCTACGTGTTGGACCGTACTGTGACCTATAATGGTTTACTTTTATAAATTTTGACCTGGATGGAGAGTTGTCTCATTGGCACTCATACCACATCTTCTTATATCTATAGCTGAAACTGTTTGATATAATTTCATGAGTCACTCTCTATAACTTCTGTCTTCTATGCAAAAATCCTCTTTTTCAAATTTACAAACACCTATCGTGCTAAACCATTTCATTTGACATAACCACCATCTACGTAAGTTTTCAGGACTATTCTAAATGTGTGCATCCAATATTCTCTATCAACAACATTAGAATTCTTATACTAAACACATAGCACTCACTTTCCATTCAGGGTAAAACAGAAGCTAGCCACATGTACTATCTACCATATTGTTCATGCTATCAGTTCTCAGGAGTCTTGGCATCATTAAAATTCTCTTATTAAACATAGCAATACTTACGATTCCTGGTAATATAGGAGCCACCCACATATGAGTACCATCTAGCGTATCATTAAAACCATCTATCAGTTTGTCAGGAGTTCTGACATCATTTGATGTTCCATCTAATACATTAACACTGTCGGGATAAGCTGAGATATCTATAATATATATCCAATAAATTATTTATATGAAGTTACTCAAATCTGTCCAATCAATGTCTAATTTATCTATGGTTTAATTCACATATAATATGCACCTTTTGTCTAGTTTACATTACCTAAATTTGATGCATAGATAAGCATGATTATCCGGTGTTTAAATTAAACACATTGTAAAATGTCAGCCATGTGGAGCGTATTCGCTGGCAGTCACCATTAACACATTTTGCACACAAAAAATGTTGCCAAAAAACTCCAATTATTGGCGAAAATTATTTGCGAAAAAATTTTAACGGTTCAATGTCATCGTTCTTGTTTATTTTTCTCTGGCTTCTCTTGACTTTTTCACTTTCATTCTACATGAAAGGGATTTGAAATTTAGTTTGTTTGCAAATATTGAAAGTGTCTAAAAAAATGTTTTGATGAAAGGCTTGATGAAATAGAAATTGACCATGGGGAAACCCTGGCCATGGGTTAAGATATGAATAGTGAGCCTAATGAACAAGCTGAAAAGTTATATTGAAACAAGCAGCTGATATTCTATTACGTCTATAATAAGCTGAAAACTGATAGAAGTGTTTTCTTGATACAAAATATAGGTGTTTCAGTTTTTAAAGGGGCATTAGCTGTCAGACTCATGTTCACTGATTTGAGTTATAACCTACTAAAACGTATATCCAAATTACAAAAACTCTAAAATAAACAATTAATAATTGTTTCACTTTCAATGTTGACATTCTTTACCTTTTAATAGCTGAATACACGCGTAACCCATCTCCAGCTAAGGGGTTAAATTGAAGGTCACATGAATATGCCGCAGAGGTTCCGAAGGTTATTGGACCTCATTGTCTTTTAGTACAGTAATTGTTCAAGCATTACTGGTCCAGTCAGTTTTTGAGCAGTCTTTTACATTATGAGTATTACAAAATTCTTGCATCTACACTGGTCATTTGGTCCAGTAATTGATGACATTTTACTGGACCAAACCATTTATAACTGGACATTGCCACATGTCTGACGGACCTTGGGAATGACTGAATATTGATTCAATGAGGTCAAATTATTCACTTGTAAGTGAATAATTCATCAGCGATGTTTCTTAGCTTATTTTGACAAAATTGAGCCAAACTGGCTAATAGAAGCAAATTATTATTTCTCTTTTTCACTTTCACTGATGATTGAACAAAAAAAATCTTATTTAATTTTTTTTTTACATCTTGTAGCTAATGCCCCTTTAAACGTTGCCTAATAAAGTTGGTCCAACTTGATATTGTCACTTCAAATCTTAGTGACATCGTGAAGCTGTGATACAGGACTTTCCAATGTGCTTAGAAGATTGATATAGACATAGGAATACATGACAATATACAATTATTGACTTTTGATGAGGTTGATACATTAATCTATCAACCCCAGAGATATATTTACCGAGGCCAACGACAAAGGGTGAATGTCATATCTCTGGGGTTGATATTTCATTGTATCAACTGAAATCAAAAGTGAACAATTGTTTTATTATATGACTATTTAGCCTTCTCCAATTTTCTAGTATTTGCTCAAGATATTTTTTAAAAATGCTCCCTGTTTTTATACTAAATATACCATCTGCTTTGCAGTTGCTAATTTTCATATGTTGAAATAGTCAATAAAGTTTACTAAAAAAATACACGAAAAAAAGAAGAAAAAGAAAAAACAGGAATTTGTATGATATCATAAACCTACGACATTGACGTTGCCTTGGAATATCTATATTTAGGTACAGGGACGCTGTTCCAAATCTTATATTAACCTCTCGTGATTTTTTCCAAGATGAATATAATGTTTTATCAAAGAGGATTTCCTATGCTTTTAGCCAATGAGAAAACAGAAAATTTATAGTCATTTAATAATTGCAAATATAGAGGTTGACACTCTGAGCATTGCATTACACTATAATAGAAACACTACATTACCATTCAAACTGGTACCTATAGGGCTGGATTAAGGAACTAGTCCGTTCATATAGACTTACTGTTTTCTGTCAATTCTATCCTGTTGTGTTGAGCATCATAAAATTCCAGACCATTCAATCCAACATAGTATGGATCACCCCATGTTGTAATCATTTGTAACTGGTATATAACTAATTCTCAATTAAGGAAATACATAAATCAAAAACTTTCAATTTCAATGTTCAATGCTTTGGTCAAAGAAGACTCAAAAAATTAATTTAAATGTATAATCACATCTCTATTTATTCACACAAAATTAAGGTAAAAAAATTTTGAGAAATGATTACGGGTGAATAAATGTCAAAACTATTTTTATTGCTAAAATTTAGCCAGTTCTCTACCATAATAAGGATACATCCAGAGGGCATCTGGACATTCTCATATTCCTGACTAGCTTCATCTGTAGACATGGTAGATTTCCTGTAAGAGACAAGTTTGTCAATAGAGCTTATGTTATGTCTTGGTTCTGTTACCATGCCGACTCTACATAAGGCTGATTTATTCATTTATATAAAAATAAGAAGATGTGGTATGATTGCAAATGAGACAACTCTCCACAAGAGACCAAATGACATAGAAGTTTACAACTATAGGTCATCATATGGCCTTCAACAATGAGCAAAACCCATACAGCATAGTCAGCTATAAAAGGCTCAAAAATGACAAATGTAAAACAATTCAAACAAGAAAACTAACGACCTGATTTAAGTACAAAAGAATGAACGAAAAACAAATATGATATACAGCAACAAATGACAACCACTGAATTACAGGCTCCTGACTTGGGACAGGCACATACAGAATGTAGGTTGAAAATTCAAAGTCTATTATATGACATTGTCATTAGCTGTTTACAATGAAAATGAACAAAATATAAGTATTAAGTATTAATAGCAAAATCTATACTTAAGGATAAAATTTAATCAAGTTGCCCTCCTGGTCAAAGGCAATATCATGTAATTGAACCTGGATTTTTGTAAGTACAGACTAAGTATTCAAAGACATGAAAAAAGTCCAGTAGCAAATATAAGAATTAATTCCAATAGCATTCTAGGCAAAATATTGCTATTTCCCTACCCCTCCTGCAAATGGTCACAAAATATTTTGGCTTATAGTAACTAAATGTTCAATTGGGTTCATTCATTATGGCTTTCAGGAAACCACAATAGTTCTTAATGTGCTTTGAAAAGTGGAACTTGCTACTTCAAATTCCAATGTCACTATTTCATATAGTATTATCTATTAAAGTACAAACTAAGAGAAACTATTTCAAAGAATGTGCGTTTCAAAGAAAATGTGAGCAAGGAATTGCCAAACAAATCAATTATTTAGCTTTTTCAAACATGAATTCACACAAAAACTTGGAGAATTATCTAATGTTGGTTGATGTTATAAATAGGAATGTTAAAAGAAAATAGACACACAAATACCTACTCATCGTCACTGTAAATAAATCATATGTTACTCAACATTATTTATGAAATTATTATAAAAAACTTAGCATAATTCATACAGTGCTTCCCCCCCCCCCCCTCCCCCCCAAAGATATAAAATCTTAAATCACAAAAATAAACACAATAAACTTTCAGTTTGCAAATAATCATCTAAAGAAAAAGACAAATACCGAGTTGACAAATTTTTCTACCAAAGGTCTTTTTGATGGATGGACAAACAGAATGATAAGACTGTGTCAAACTTTTACTAAACCTGCTTTCGTCCTTGGCATGGCAGTTAAATAGATAATGAATAGTCCTTCTAATTACAGGTCACATTTTATCTTTAAAATAATTCAATAATTACCTGAGATGTTTAGATTCAGACTTTGATACTGTTGGTTGTGGTGGCTTGGTTTGTGGAGCAAAACTTATTTCTTGAGCAAAGTCAAAATGGCAGACACCAGGACCCTTTCTTATCAGATATCCTTCTGGCGGAGACACTTGTTTATCATCTATTGTTACATGAACAATTCTGGCCTAGGATAAATAAATGATTTTCAAATAAAAATATACATTTCTTTTCACATGAATTTCAGCAGCCATTCAAGAATAAATTTTTTTTCTGTAAAAGTTTGAAGCTTTTAAAATACTGCATTATATGCATTTTGTCTTTGCTGCTGACAGTATGGTTTAAGGCTGTTATAATATCAGTCAAAATGCAGCCCAGTCTGAAAGATAATGACTCATAATATTCAAGTCGGATGAAGCATATATTGGCATAGTATCATTTTTTTTAATTACTCGCATTCAGAGGAAAAATTAAAATTATTGAAAACACACAATTTTAGGGGATTTACAGTCCTCTCTGTAAACACCCTATTTACTATGTTGTACATTTACACTTGGTCTTTATAAAGTTACCATACAATGCATACATACCCCTCTATAGGTATCCTCCCTGCTTTTGTTGTAGTTCCACACCCTCAGTCCCGATATCATTTGAGTCTGACTGAATTCTATTGATAACGTGTGATTTTGTCCCTCTGTAAATGGTATCATCCACATGTGTTCATCTGATGTTGTCAAATTGTTATTGTCTATCACTCTGAAAAGAGTAAATACATATTGTAAATTTATATTTTGGTTTTGTGACTAAATCTTTATAGGAACAAATTATTACCTATTTAACGAAAACAAAAAAAGACCGATTAATTAAGGCTGTGATAAAACTAAACTCGACTAATATTACCTAAAATTTATGTTTTTAAAGCATACAGTAAACAGCCAAATCACAAGGGCCATTACTGGCCCAAATTTTTTTAACATATATTGCACAAGTAAATTGTTGTTGAAATCCTTCATTATTAAATATGGCTTTAAAGTTATTTTGGTGTCTGTATCATTATGATATGATTTAGACATCATAATTGCTAAAGCAGTCCTGATGTACAGATTTTTTTTTTTTTTTTAACAAGTCTTGTCTTTGAAAACATTGAAATCATGCATTAATTAGGAAATAATTGTAAAAGAAGTTTGTAATAAAATTGAAAATTCCCATAAAATATAATTTGGTGAACATGAAATTGGAATAGTTTTTGTAGAGTTTCAAAAAAATGTATGTTACAGTAATATCATCGCGGTTTCAACTAAGAGAGTGAAAAGAAAGGTAATATAAAAGAATCCAGTTGGATTATTGGTATACTTACTTATCAAGTGTTCTGTCGTCATTTTCATGTCCAGGAAGTGAGTGTAGATCTCTAGGACTACCATTCATCATGTTGATATTCACAGGTAATGCCTCTCCATCTCTACCCACAACCTCTAACCCAGTTAGTCCCAAATAATGCATATCTCCCCAAGTGGCAGTGAAACTAAGCAACAGTTCTGAAAAACAAACAAATAATTCATGGCTACCTTTTATGAGAATGAAATCGTCAAAATTTGTGAGAGACAAAGGTATATCTCACAAATGTGGCAGTGTAGTTAAATACTGTGGATTCACTATAATTCTTAGGATACTCATTTTGTGGATTTTGTGGATAAAAGTGAATCAAGTATTTAAGTGTTCAAATGAAGTACACATTTTCTATAGGCTTGTATGCAGACTTTGGTAAACCACAATTTCAAATATCCATGAAAATACAATTTTTCTTCAAACCATGAAAATTAGTAACTACGAAAATAAATGAATCCAGAGTTATAATTCTGAAAAAAAACCAATAACAGTATAGTTAATCACTTTTTTATTGATACTGTTGTATGCAAACAATAGAACATTTTTAATTGTGACAAAAAGATTTCAATATTAAGAAAGAAAAAAATATTAATGTAATAATGCATGTTAATTGATATCTTTGACATCATCTATCTAAAACTGTTCCCTTTATTTAACCAAATTTTCCAGAAAACAAACTCATATTTTTTTAAGTTACATCAGAAATTCAGTTTGTATTTGGAGAACTTAAATCATAATTGAAACTGAATTCATAAATCAGTGTTATTGGGTTGCTGTCACATTGAGATATATCCCACATTTCTACTTTAATTGATCAATCTGTTTGAAAACAAATCTGTTGACTCTGTCTCATTGAGATCCCAAATTTCTACTTTAATTGATCAATCTGTTTAAAAACAAATCTGTTGACTGATAGACAAGTTAATACTATTCTTGAAGCATTACATAAAAAAACTTGTTAAAATTAGGTAAGAAGCTTGCCATCTATATTGTAATTTATATTTACTTTCACCACTAAACAAAATAACCCCTCCCATAGTAGATTGTAGATGTTAAGATGATTTACTGCCATTAATATATTATTTCATACTTACTTTTCCCTTTGAACACAATAACATCTCCCTCCGTGACCATACTTGTTGCAGGTCTTGGAGGTAAAGGTGATGTGCTGCCATCTATATTGCCAACTGCTCTTGTGAATGGTCTATTCTATAAAAAGAATTAAGACGTCAATACTTTAACTGTCTGAGGGGAAAACTAGAAAACTGAATATGCCATCTACCATAACCATATTATGCAAAAATAAATTGTATTTTTATCTTTTACAAATAACCAAAGTTTTAAGTTAATAGTACAAAAAGATAAGCTTACTTCATCTCCAGCATCAGCTGTTCTGGGTCTTTCAAACGGCACATCATCTGGTTCATCACTGTCAAACATTTCACCCTCATACGCATCATCATTACGTGATACACATTCTAATATGTTCTCATCTGTCGTGAACAGTATTGTCTGAAAAATATATAATGAATAATGGATGGATAGATGACTGTTTTAAGTCCATTGGCAAATTAAATGCATATTAAGGGTGAGAACATATTATGTAATATGAACCAGGCTTTGTACTAGACCGACAATCTGAGCTGGATCTTTAACGTGCTAGTTTACAAGGTAACAATGAACAGGAACACCTACCCAGACACATACCAAGGGCTGACTAGTCTTTTCCTTATTCCTAAATGCTTCGTGCCTAGAGGAGAAGCAGTAATTACCAATTGTTTGATACGACCCAGCCAGGGATTTAACTGACAACCTCCTGCACTCTATGTGAACACGGTGATAAAAGCCTTACCATGAAGTGTTTAACTTATATTCTCATTGAGATTACCCAATATTGTTGATTGACTTACATTTTTTTGTAAATGATTCAACATCATAAGTTATAAACTCGAATACAGTCAAAATGTTGTATTTTTATTACAACCAATCTATCTATAAGTAATACAATATGTCACATTGGGCTGTTTTAAAAAAGATATATTTTTTATCAAATATTTATACTACAAAATATTAGCGATGAGCTTAAACTAAAAACTGAGTAGTTTCATATCTTTTTTTTTAATTCCACTACATCTCTACCTGATTTGTATTACTTACATCACCAAATGCTTCTGTCCCTCCTTCTATTCCTCCACATGCTCTCTCTATCTCTCCTTTAAATATCTCACTTTTATCTAATGTAATAATAACATATTTGGCACCACGATAAGAATGTATTCTGGATTTATTGTAATTCTGTAAAAAAATATATATCAGTTAATTCATAGAAAATAGAAAAATGCAGAACAAATAAATTTGACCAATTGTAGACATGTATTTAGCACTAACTAAATTAGTTTTAGGAATGTATGATAATCCCTGTTTGGAACACCTCTTAAGTTCTCACTCGATTTAAATGAATAATATATGACCAATATCTGTAAATAGTGCATCAACCTCCACACAGTATCAGCATGGTATGATTAAATGACTATCACTTGGTAAAAATCAAACCTTTTAGACTGTGTGCCCTATAGGATTTTGTAATTTTAATAAAAATACTATTCATACTCCACAAAATGAAGCTGTCCTTTTATTGTAGTCACCTTCTATATATCTTTGTTTTTTTTTTAAATCTTTGGCTCTGAACATTCTTGACAAAATTGCTCCAAAAAAACCATTGGAAAGCAGCAAAATACTTATGGATGACTTTTATTGATACCTTTGCTTTAATTGTATTAAAATGTCAATTAAATATTTTTTCCAGTAAAAAGGTACTACCAATTTTTATATCATTCGAAAATGTGTATAGGGAAAAAGGCTTCTTACCCATATCCTCATTAAAGCTATTTTACAAGGTTTATCAAAAGTCAGGTTAATATAATTATGTTTTCCTTCTGTAAAGGGAGCTAACCACATATGAACATCATCTCTGGTTCTGTTGACTCCATCTAAGACATTAGAAATGACACGTGGATCTTTGTTGTACTCATCTAAGATGTTAATGTCTGAGGGTTCTGCTGATATCTACAATATAAAGTAATGATAAATATATTGATTTTATGTATGAAAGTTAAAATAAAGGCATGGATCAAGGATTTAAGGTAAGTGGGGGCATGATCATAACAATTTTTTACAAGTTTTATGACCAAAAAAGATAGAAAATTTAGTTCTGATTTTTGGTGGTACATGCCAATTGCCCCATTTATCAGAATGATTTGGGTCTCACCAACATAAATGTTATCTATCCAAGATGAATCAGTACTATATTATTACCTTTGATACTGTAACTGCATCCCCTGTAGATGTAAACAACTGGATCCCTGTTAGACCAACATAATGTCTATCACCCCAGGTTGATATGATATCAATAACCAAGCTTTTACCATATGGCAGTTCTGGTATGATGAAATCTTCATCCCTGGAAAGTAAATGACTTGAAATTCAAGGATCATACAATATCAATAAATATACTTACAAGATTAAAACTTCATAATAAAAAGATTTATAAACATGTACAAATGTATGTGAAATCAAGTATTGAAAGGATATGAGTATCAGTTACTACAGTCTGACCAAGGGAGTGGTTCTTTTCAAATAAAAAGTAATAAGATAAAAAAACACTCTCCATGCAAAAAAAAAAATAAAAATCTATCACATGCAATTCTTAATCTTAATGTCAGCAGGGTGTCACTTACAGGCTTTACAATTAAAGTGAACAAGTGATCAATCAACATTTAAAATAAAGTTACATCCATCCACACTTAACCCCTTAAGGACTGAAAAAAATGTTTGGTTAAGATGGGTGTTCAGTTTATACAGGTTGAAAATTGTTAATACCACAGTCACAGTTACCAAAGTCTTGCTTAAACATGACTTAAACCCAGGCAAGACAAAAAGTATTATATAAGGATGTTCATGTAGCAGTATTTTAACTGCAAGTTATCTACCATAAAATTACGTATATCTTCATAAAGATATGAGATTATTAAATTCAATATTTGACTGCAGTCAAAACATAATACCTAAATTTGACTGCCCGGACGAGGTCTAATATTTAGCATGTAACATAATATACATAGATGATAATGCAATTTTATAAACCAATAATGAAAAAGCAGGATGTTGGAAAATCATTAAAAACCTCTAGGTAAAAAGTAAAATCACAAAAATACTGAACTCTGAGGAAAATTCAAAACGGAAAGTCCCTAATCAAATGGCAAAATCAAAAGCTCAGACACATCAAAATCAAAAGCTCAAACAAATCAAACGAATGGATGTCAAGTTTTATCTTTGTCTAACCATACGCCATTTTCAACAAGTAAGACAAAAACATTGATGAACATTACAAAATGGTGTAAATTATCTATAACGAAAACCAGTGACTTAGTTTAACATATAATCTACTTCAGGATATGTTCCTTCAATAAAGAATACTACTTCTACCAAATACATACCCAGGAACTTCATTTAAGATAGAATCCACTAAATCATCATCTTCTTCCTGGATAGGGGCTTCTTTTGGTATCTGTTTCTTTGATGGATTCAGATATTCATCTAATGAATCATCTGTAACAGAAAGTTCAGTTGTACGAAATTAGAGTCCACAGCCAGTCACAGTTCATATTGAAGTAAAAAAAAATGATGCAAGTCATTAAAGTGTGTAATCCTTACTACTTGAATTTGATAAACAAATTTTAAAAAGATAATGATTTGCTATGTTTATTGCTGTTAACCATGCCATCTAAAGTCATCAACTCTTATTACAAATAAATTTCATAAAGATCTAACATTTCTATTAGTATTATAATACAAATGTTTTTCATAATTCAATATTGAGAATAATATTTTTAAAGGAAGTAAAAACGTTCCAGAGAACATTATAATTCGATTATTACCATCTAAGTCCATAGAGATTCTGCCTTTCTGTTGTCTATCAAACATTGTCAGCGATCCCCATGATTCCTCAAGATTCTTTTTCTGATTTTCCCGCCATTTTGATCGGTTTTCCTTAATTTTCTGCATAGGTGTAGCTTTACCATCTTCTTTACTAGGCTCTGAACAAAAAAAATCTTTTTATGTATTTTCTAAATGTAAATTGTAATAAATCCCAACTACAGCAAAACTACAAGATACGTTTTTCATAGTAATTATTTCTATAACTGCAATAAAACTGGATTACATGTTTTACATAATGAATATTCAACATCTTTAATTATAATATACAACTAGAGGCTATCATGAGCCTGAATCACTCAATTGGCAATATATTATATATGCAAATTGATTTCTTACAGAACTTTTAGTAATAATGTTTTGTCTACCTGGCTTGACTTTATCAGCATCAAACACGGTCTTTAATTCTGATTTTCTGTAAAAATAAAAAAATAAAACAGTATTTAATGCATAGTTTACAATGTCAGAATTAAATAAGTGCTAAAAAGGAAAAATACTGCTATATATTAGACATAAGTAAGTCTTTTACTCCTTGCATATAACCATTTTTAAATTAACATGTGAATCCCACTAGAGATGATTTTTCACATCCAAAATAGAAGTTAAAATGTTTTTTTTCTAATTACTAAAAAGAATGGTCAAATCCAGATTAACAATAAATTAAAAGAATGGATTCAAACATTCCACAGTCAACAACAGTTTGCTCATTTATACACAATTTCACAATTATTCAGTGTTATACTAATGTATCTAAGAAATAGTACAAGCTATCTAATAAACTGCTTCGCTGAGCACAGCTGGATACGCCAGCAGAGGTCCAACCCTGAACAGTTGGGGCAAAAATGGACACAAATTTAAGCTTGATACAGGTCTGAATTTGGATTGTAATTAAATATTTGACATATTATAGGTTTCTGAAAAAATGTAGTCAAAGAACTTAAAATTGGTTATATGAATTGAATTTATATTCAATTCAAGATTTCTTGCTGTTGTGCAATACACTGTGCTGTTGCGCAATACTTAGTAAATCTGTTGTCAGACAATAAACAAATAAAGTTCAATTTCTTCTCAATGTCATATTTGAAATTTATGAAAATCAATAGGGAGATTACATCAATAGCTATAAATAATTCAAAGTTTCATGAGAACTGCTGAAAGCATTTTTGATTTATTGTCCAAAAACTGGAAAATCCCCCCTTTTTTAATGAATAAAACCCCATAACTCAGAAATGTAAAATCTAAAATTTATAAAATTCTAAAGGGAGCTTACATCAACAGATATAAACAATTCACCAAAGTTTCATGAGAACTGCTGAAATCATTTTTTAGTTATTGTCCGAAAACTGGAAAATCCCCCTTTTTTTTATGAATAAAACCCTGTAACTCGGAAACGTTAAATCTAAAATTTATAAAAATCCAAAAGGGAGCTCATGTCAATAGATATAAAGAATTCATCAAAATTTCTTGCAAGTTGGTGAAAGCATTCTTGAGTTATTGTCGGAAAACTGGAAAATCCCCCCTTTTTTAATGAATAAAACCCCAAAACTTGGAAACGGTAAATCTGAAATTTATAAAAAACGAAAGGGAGCTCACGTCAATAGATATAAACAATTCACAAAAGTTTCATGCATAATGGTTAAAGCTTTTTCGAGTTAATGTCCCACATGTTGACGACAGACGGACGGTCAACGGTATACCATAATACGTCCCGTAAACGGGCGTATAAAAATGAGTTTGTTTTTCTTCAATGAAGAACAAATCTATTGGAATCAAATCCTATTTAATGAATAGTAAGTTATTCATTCATAAGAAAAGCTTCAGTATTTGTAAATCTTTCAAGATAAGAATAGTCTTAACCTTTACTATCAATGTGACAGTGTGTATTTTACCTGAGTATCCTAACTATGCTATAACATATTTTTGATTTCAACCTTTATTTCAACATAGACAAGACCTTTGTGTAGCAAAGGAGGCTGTATGGTTATTTTTAGACATTAACATACATGTAACATCAAACCTAATAATTTCCAACGACTAATCAAGCCTTTGGCGACATTGGTGTTTATTATCAAAAGACTTGAATGGTTTTGAGTCAATATAACATCTCTATTTTCAGCTTACATGACTTACCAAGTTATTGGCCACATGGCTAATTCCTCATCTATGAGCATGTCTATTCTCAGCTTACATGACTTACCCTTTTTTTGGCCACATGGCTAATTCCTCATCTATGAGCATCTCTATTTTCAGCTGACATGACTAACCCAGTTTTTGACCACATGGCTAATTCCTCATCTATGAGCATGTCTATTCTCAGCTTACATGACTTACCCAGTTTTTGGCCACATGGCTAATTCCTCATCTATGAGCATCTCTATTTTCAGCTGACATGACTTACCCAGTTTTTGACCACATGGCTAATTCCTCATCTATGAGCATGTCTATTTTCAGCTCACATGACTTACCCAGTTTTTGACCACATGGCTAATTCCTCATCTATGAACATCTCTATTTTCAGCTTACATAACTTACCCACTTTTTGGCCACATGGCTAATTCCTCATCTATGAGCATGTCTAATCTCAGCTTACATGACTTACTCAGTTTTTGGCCACATGGCTAATTCCTCATCTATGAGCATGTCTATTTTCAGCTCACATGACTTATCCAGTTTTTGGCCACATGGCTAATTCCTCATCTATGAACATCTATAAACGACTAATCAAGCCTTTGGCGACATTGGTGTTTATTATCAAAAGACTTGAATGGTTTTGAGTCAATATAACATCTCTATTTTCAGCTTACATGACTTACCCAGTTATTGGCCATATGGCTAATTCCTCATCTATGAGCATGTCTATTCTAAGCTTACATGACTTAACCCTTTTTTTGGCCACATGGCTAATTCCTCATCTATGAGCATCTCTATTTTCAGCTGACATGACTAACCCAGTTTTTGACCACATGGCTAATTCCTCATCTATGAGCATGTCTATTCTCAGCTTACATGACTTACCCAGTTTTTGGCCACATGGCTAATTCCTCATCTATGAGCATCTCTATTTTCAGCTGACATGACTTACCCAGTTTTTGACCACATGGCTAATTCCTCATCTATGAGCATGTCTATTTTCAGCTCACATGACTTACCCAGTTTTTGACCACATGGCTAATTCCTCATCTATGAACATCTCTATTTTCAGCTTACATAACTTACCCACTTTTTGGCCACATGGCTAATTCCTCATCTATGAGCATGTCTAATCTCAGCTTACATGACTTACTCAGTTTTTGGCCACATGGCTAATTCCTCATCTATGAGCATGTCTATTTTCAGCTCACATGACTTATCCAGTTTTTGGCCACATGGCTAATTCCTCATCTATGAACATCTATAAACGACTAATCAAGCCTTTGGCGACATTGGTGTTTATTATCAAAAGACTTGAATGGTTTTGAGTCAATATAACATCTCTATTTTCAGCTTACATGACTTACCCAGTTATTGGCCATATGGCTAATTCCTCATCTATGAGCATGTCTATTCTCAGCTTACATGACTTACCCTTTTTTTGGCCACATGGCTAATTCCTCATCTATGAGCATCTCTATTTTCAGCTGACATGACTAACCCAGTTTTTGACCACATGGCTAATTCCTCATCTATGAGCATGTCTATTCTCAGCTTACACGACTTACCCAGTTTTTGGCCACATGGCTAATTCCTCATCTATGAGCATCTCTATTTTCAGCTGATATGACTTACCCAGTTTTTGACCACATGGCTAATTCCTCATCTATGAGCATGTCTATTTTCAGCTCACATGACTTACCCAGTTTTTGACCACATGGCTAATTCCTCATCTATGAACATCTCTATTTTCAGCTTACATAACTTACCCACTTTTTGGCCACATGGCTAATTCCTCATCTATGAGCATGTCTAATCTCAGCTTACATGACTTACTCAGTTTTTGGCCACATGGCTAATTCCTCATCTATGAGCATGTCTATTTTCAGCTCACATGACTTATCCAGTTTTTGGCCAAATGGCTAATTCCTCATCTATGAACATCTCTATTTTCAGCTTACATAACTTACCCACTTTTTGGCCACATGGCTAGTTCCTCATCTATGAGCATGTCTATTCTCAGCTTACATGACTTACCCAGTTTTTGGCCACATGGCTAATTCCTCATCTATGAGCATGTCTATTTTCAGCTCACATGACTTACCCAGTTTTTGGCCACATGGCTAGTTCCTCATCTATGAGCATGTCTATTCTCAGCTTACATGACTTACCCAGTTTTTGGCCACATGGCTAATTCCTCATCTATGAGCATGTCTATTTTCAGCTCACATGACTTACCCAGTTTTTGGCCACATGGCTAATTCCTCATCTATGAGCATGTCTATATCATCCTGCTTAGTCTGATACATGTGGTCGTCATTTTTAACAGGTGCTTGATTGACAGGGGTTCCCTGTCTACTGGATGGAGGACCCTCAAATGGACCTGTTGGACAAACAAATAAGTCATATGGTCATCATTTTCAATAGGGGCTCTCTGTTCTCATCTTCCACAAGATGGAACCTCATATAAACCAGCACAGGGCAATATTTAATCATGCAGTTATTACTTTTAACAGGTACTTGTTTGTCAATAACAAGCTAGAAACTGAAACTATTTGGTTGGACTGGCTATTTTTTTTTATAAATTTTTAAAGATATATGATTTTTCTTAATCAGCTGGATATTGTAAATTGAGAAACTTCTATAGAAATTCAGTGCAATAAGTCTAAACTGTCTTATTTAATCTTTTACAAATGATTCCATGTTAATATCTGCTTGGTTTCAAGAGTGCATGTCTTATAGCTAAACTTCATTTTTTGTTGTACTATAAGGAATGTACAATTTCTCTCCTTTTACATTGATATAATTTTTGCTGCTTGCAAATATTTTAACTTTTACTTGACTTGACATTGACATTAAAGAAACAAAAGACCAGCATCTTTGCACTCCTCCTTTTTTATTCTTTTCCTTAGTTTTTTTTATGTTGTTTCATGTGTCTCTTTCCTATATCCCATTCAGATATTAATTTGAAATTAATTTATTTTCATTTATTTAGATAAATCTTGTTTGTTAAGAGTAGTACCTTACCAGATAAATCTTCATTCTTTAACCAAGATGGTGGTCCTTTCTTTTTACTTGGATCTGGTTGCTGTCTATATAAGAAAAATATAAGCTGTGAAGACAAATTACTCTTTGAGGCACATATTTCTGTACAATAAATGTACTAGCATTATGGAAGCAAGCTGACACATGATAAGTACTGAAATCTGACAGAAACTAACCATCCAATCATCAATGGAACCACCAAAATATTATTGCTAATAGACTTTCTTTCAAAGAAATGGATTTCAACTGTCTTTTGTAGAAGCTGAATTTAAATACTAGGGGTCTGGGCCAGTATGAAACATTATCAAGAATAAACAGAACATCAGCTGATATAAAATAGAATTCTATTTTAATATCATTTTTTAACAATAGGTTAAGATCAATCCTTGGGCTGTTGATATACTGTCTTTGTCTGGAACCTATTTTAAGCCTCTAATGGGGGATGCTTCAACTGTCCTATCTTGTGTTCACTTTCATCAATGATCACTAATTATAAACAGCAAGGTACATGTGTAGCTTAATTGAATATTTCTGCAAGTCAAGAAAAATTAGGCATGTTCAACTTCTGAAAATTAGACAGCATGTTTAAAACTGAATTTGTTTACTATTTGAAGGATAGAAATACTTCTTTTAGTACATTTTGTAAGTCTATGACATATCATCAAATTCAGTGTCTAAGTCCAACCTTTGTAAGAATCTAAAATTTGAAAATTTTACAAAATTCAAATTTATAAATAGTAAATCTAGGATTCATTAATGAGAGTTTTTATAGACCCCTGCAAGGTTGTGTAAAATAAATAAGCAAACATTGGTATTTCTTTTACTTACTTGTGATTGAGTTGTTGAAGTTTCTGTATCATTGGAATGTCATCTTCACTTTGAGATAGAGTACTATGTTGAGACGGAGGGTCTAGAGGAGCTATATGGTCTGATGGAGGGTCCTTGATAGACTGAGGAGGGGCACTATATTGTGTTGTAGGCTCATGAACTGGTTCTGATGGCAATGCTGACTGGCTGCTAACCATTTCTTCCTTCTGAACAAGTGGAGACCTCCGCCCATCAGCACTGTGACAAACATATCGACAATTAGGATAATATTCACTATTAAATTCTTCATCACCCATTTCATATTTGTTTAACGGTGACACTGAACTTCCCATATAAAAATAGATATTTTGCAAGGTTTAGAAGACATCAAATAACAACTTCTAATGTAAATCAGTGGCTGGAATCTTATATCTCAAGAAACTAAATGCTCAAAGCTCTGGATTATTTGTCAGAAATACTGTCAACAAAAGAACAATTGAAACTTAAATCCTAGAAATAAATTGAAATCATCAATAATTTAAATAAGTAATCAACAGAGAGTTTGACCATTACAATCTCTGTATATCTGTAACGAGCACCTGTTGATATTAACTAATTGGATTTCAATGATTTATATTAAACGAAATAAATGCCATCACATACATTTACAGAATTAATTCTTACTATTATCATTCAACTATTGGTACATTTTCTCATTAAATGACTAGACCGCTGCCTTTAATAGTACTTTTAGGAATAATGCCGGTAATTGATTCTTTTATGTACAAAAGTCAGAGTACAAGCAGTTCAAACACTTTATGTCTCTTTGGAATATTGATAATTTTCACTATAAATATCTAATGAAATGTTTCTACAATTTTACAAATGATGATCTATCACATATCTTTTCCTTAAGCTTATCACCATAAGTCATTAATGATCTACACAGATTTTTCATGACTTTTAAGATATGAATATCTAATAATTATCATAAACAATATGTACAGTAGTTCTGAGCAGATCATAACAGGCCCATTTGAGCATGACCTTCTAGTTATGATCATTAGATTAACAGTGCCCATAACAGAATAACAGACCTATTCAGGTTTTATCATAAAATGCCCTTTTTTTTTACCAGAGTATACTAACCTATCTGAAAACTGTCTAGAGTCAGTTTCTGTTGATGAATGTCCATCCAGCTTGGCAGCCATACGTTTGGACTTTCTAGGGGTCCTGGACCCTTTATGTCTTCCTGGAAGCTTGCTTTCATCTGTAAACACAAAATACAACATCAATACCTAAAGATACAGAATGAATGTAAGGAGATGTGGTATGATTGCAATGACAACTATTCACCAGAGTTCAAATGAAGTGGATGTATGCAATTATAGGCCACTGAGCGGCTTTCAACAATGAGAAAAACCCATACCTTATAGGTCTGTTAAAGCAGGGGTGTCTAAGTTCAACTAACTTTTCGATCATGACTTCAATATATAGCTTTCTTCCTTGTGCATGATATACCCTCAAGTAGTGGTGAATAAGGTTTATTACACCAAAGGTGCATGATATACCTTCATGTAGTGGTGAATAAGGTTTATTACACCAAAGGTGCATGATATACCCTTGAGTAGTGGTGAATAAGGTTTATTACACAAAAGGTGCATGATATACCCTCGAGTAGTGGTGAATAAGGTTTATTACACCAAAGGTGCATGATATACCCTCACATAGTGGTGAACAAGTAAAACTGTGAGCTTCTGCTCACTGATGATACCCCCGCCGAAATATTTCGGTAAACAGGAAGTTGTTGAGTGATGAATCTGAAAACGCATCACACAGTGTAACTTACTTATATAAACCCTGAAACCAAATTTCAGAAATCCTTGTCAAGTAGTTCCTGAGAAAAATGTGACGAAAATTTTCAACTATGCTATCATGTGTAAAATAATACAAGTGTTCAGTAAACAGGAAGTTGTTGAGTGATGAATCTGAAAATGCATCACACGGTGTAACTTACTTATATAAACCCTGAAACCAAATTTCAGAAATCCTTGTCAAGTAGTTCCTGAGAAAAATGCGACGAAAATATTCATGGGACGGATGGATGGACTGATGGATGGACTGACGGAAGGACAGACAGAGGTAAAACAGTATACCCCCCTTTTTAAAGCGGGGGTATAATAATAAGGTTTATTACGCCAAAGGTGTATGATATTCTCTCGAGTAGTGGTGAATAAGGTTTATTACGCCAAAGGGTTTAGTTTATATGCACATGAGGGGCTAAGTAGAACTATGTTTTTGACATGTGCATGATATACCCTCAAGTAGTGGTGAATAAGGTTTATTACACCAAAGGGTTTAGTATATATGCACATGAGGGGTTAAGTAGAACTATGCTTTTGACCAGGATTGAAATGGTTACAGACTAATTACAGTGGTCTATATTTTCTCAAAAAGCCAAGCCACATAAAAATGCTGGAAATTCTTTTATTATGTTCAATTGAACTTCTTTTAACATTGCTAAGGATATATTGATCTTTATGTCTGACAAAACCTGATATATCTTTACTTATTTATTATTAACATGTTGAATTACTTGGTAGAAATGACTTAGATCAATAATTCATTAATTAACTGGTCTTCTAACTTAAGTCAGACTAGATGTTAAAGGTTCATTGATATCAATAAAGGTATTTCAAACAGAATTATCCATCAATGTCCTAATTGATATACAGAAACAGAACTAAAACATTCATTAAATAGGTTAGTATTCTCTGTTGAAAATATAAATGACATCACTGTAAACTAACCCTAGAATGGAGGGTAAGACATAACTGTAAACTAACCCTAGAATGGAGGGTAAGACATAACTGTAAACTAACCCTAGAATGGAGGGTAAGATATAACTGTAAACTAACCCTAGAATGGAGGGTAAGATATAACTGTAAAGTAACCCTAGAATGGAGGGTAAGACATCACTGTAAACTAACCCTAGAATGGAGGGTAAGATATAACTGTAAACTAACCCTAGAATGGAGGGTAAGATATAACTGTAAACTAACCCTAGAATGGAGGGTAAGATATAACTGTAAACTAACCCTAGAATGGAGGGTAAGACATCACTGTAAACTAACCCTAGAATGGAGGGTAAGATATAACTGTAAACTAACCCTAGAATGGAGGGTAAGATATAACTGTAAAGTAACCCTAGAATGGAGGGTAAGACATCACTGTAAAGTAACCCTAGAATGGAGGGTAAGACATCACTGTAAAGTAACCCTAGAATGGAGGGTAAGACATCACTGTAAACTAACCCTAGAATGGAGGGTAAGACATAACTGTAAAGTAACCCTAGAATGGAGGGTAAGATATAACTGTAAAGTAACCCTAGAATGGAGGGTAAGACATCACTGTAAAGTAACCCTAGAATGGAGGGTAAGACATAACTGTAAACTAACCCTAGAATGGAGGGTAAGACATCACTGTAAACTAACCCTAGAATGGAGGGTAAGACACCCAAAATTAATACCCTTATCTGACAGTAAAATTTACAATCATTCTAATATTTACCCAAATCTTATTTTAATGGTAAAATAATTTGTATGGCTCCAAGCCACAGTTGTTTTATATGCCTTTCAAAACATGTAGGAAAGTGTTAATTGGACATTGACACAAATGGGTCAATATCTTTAATTGTTTTTCCATAGGCGGTAATGGTAACGTTTTTTCCTGTAGCTCAGTCCATATCGTTAACTTGGATATGTATGATAGCTCGTTTCGAAGCTGTGACATTTTCACATATGTGGTTAAATTTTGTACGAAGTGAGATTACTTTTTCTGTAAATTAGCATACCCCGAACATCCTTTCGTGATGCGGCTCCTTGTGGTAAAAAATCCCTTTTTTAACACAATAAGTTCTTTGAAAATTTAATACTTTGAACACATTTAATAGCTCCATAGTTTTTACACATTTATTCTATATTCCTCTACTTTCCTAATCACCACAAATGGTTAAGCTCAGTCATTTGTAAAAAATAGAAACATGTCCAATATCACTACACAGAGATTTTTTGTTTACACACAACTTTTGAGTTTCTCATTTCGAGGCACATTAGGGATATTGACCCATATGTTTCAACCCTTCTGGGATTTTATATGTAGCCTTATGTTGGATAATGCGTCATTTACTCATTTAGCTGCCTCTAATTATAAGACTTAATGTCAATTGATGAGAGATATAAAAGCAATGACATTCCATTTATTCAATGCAGTTAAAACATATGTTTAAAAAATCAACTTCCAAAAAGTAAATAGACTTTTCCAGACAGGTCAAGTAATATTGTGTACAGTTCAGAACAAAAACTCTTCATTTCAGACTGCAATCCTGGTTAATTGATAAAATATACAAAAATGATGACTGCATACATTTTATGTCGCACATCGATACTAATATCATTACAAATGAGAGAACTATCCACTAAAAGACTAAGGATGTAAAGACTATGTACATCTTTTAACACTGTTTTTGTGAACTACCAGGTAATACAGTTTTAAGAAGAAGACATTGAATCCCAATCTTACCCTCATAATTGGTGATATGTGTGGCCTTTAATACTATCTTCTTCTTGTACATATTTATATCATCATCTGTACATTATTATTGAAATCATCCTTCACATGTAAATCCAGTTATACACTATCATCTTTTATTGTGCTAATACTTCATATCCAGATAAGTTTTATGTAGATAAAGTTAAAAAAACTTTAACAAAAGAATCTATACCAAATACTCCATTCATCCATAGAAAATAAAACTGAACTAAGGCCATACATAAAAAGTATCCCTGTAAAATCTATATAGATTTATATAGATTTCTTATTGACTAACTAAATCAATGTGTAATGTGTGATAAAGCTATCAAAGTCTTTTAAAAGCCTTGGTAAACATTCAGTATAAATTTTATCAAAACACCAACTATTTATGTTTTATATGAAGCCTATCGCATGTTAAGCATTTTGTTCAACTTGTCATTGAAACAGTTGGTATTTGCATTTTTGTTTAGCACCAAATATAACTATAGATTTATATAATGTATTTTAAGTGTATATGAGACCTATGAAGGTACGATCTGTATCAGACTTAAAGGTGAATGTCTATTGTTCTGTATGTCACTTTGTTACATTCATTGTACTTTATGGTATAATAACTCCATTCTAATCATTAAATCTAGCAAGGTGCTAACAAAATGGTTATAAGAGAACAATCTTTTAAGGTGTATTCACATTATAAACTTATAAGTGAAATTAAAATCAAATTTATATCCTGTTTATTTTTTCTATACCTGTAACTTTATTTTCGTATAACACAAAAAGACTGGTAGTTACATGTAGTTATAAAAAGGTATTATATTAGAACACACAAGAGAAGTCTCAAGAGATATCAACCTGTATGTACCATTTATGAACAGGTTCTTTCCACAGAGATAATCATATTACGAAAGGGGCATTTTTACAGTGTCCTTAAAGGGTTGTGATATAAAAATACTCTTTAGATATGCATTACCACGTTTCAATTGGGGGTTAATCTTTAATATTCAAATGGGATTTATTTTTCATAAGAGTTGATGGAAAACCTGTCAATGCACATAAGGAAATTCTGCCATAGATAAGTAGAATTATGTGGAGCACATATATATATATGTATATAACCTGTTCAATGAGTTGCACATGATTTTTATTTATTTCTTCAATAGGGGTTGCAGAAAAATTCTGTAATTAATCTTAATAATAGTTTGTTTTACTTGATTATTAAGAAGTATAAAAAAAAATTTTTTAGTTCAAAAAAGTTTATTTTTGAATTTTGTGGGTGATATACTTTGTTAACTCAAACTTTATTAATTAGCAGAGTATGATGAACATGGCAAAGGAAGTTGTTTTTGAATCAATACTGAAAAATACAGTAAAATTATTTAAGAAACTAAGTTCTCATTTATACACTTGCTTTTTTTTTCTATTCATTTGCCCTGTATCAATTCAAAGTTTGTCTTATAGTGGTTTATACATTGAAACTATTTTGAATCACTACACATTTTAATAAAGTCGGGTTATCTGCCTCATGTTATTCTATGTCTTTGTGCGATTCACTGAGATTCACTGAGCACTATCTTAAACAGTTTGGTTGTATGTAGGTTTTTCATCTGCTATCCCTGTTATATTTATATTATGAATGTTTTAATCGCTATAATTTGTTAAAAAAAAATAAAAAAATTG